TAATTTCAAAGGTAAAGATACTTGAAAAAAGTAGAGAACGAGCTATATTCAATAGATGTTGATGTTTTATTTCAACAATAATATTCTCGTTATAGAGTTTTCACATGAGACAATTGGTAAATAATCTCTTTAGTGGCATAGAAGATGGGTAGATGAAACTCGGGACCATTGTTTAATCTAATTTGTTTGATAGGATAACCGAACTATGTACAAATCAATTGATAGAGTGGAGGAATAATGGACAAGACATTTGGTTTATGCCTAAGCAGAAAAACCTAAGTAACTCTAGTGAAATCATCAACCACAGTAAAAAGAAATAATGAAAATTACTAAAAGAAGCAACAGAACAAGGCCCTTAAATATCCATATGAACCAAATCAAAAGGATATATTATGCTTTTATTATAAATAGAAAAATGTAATCTCTTTTTTTTTATATAAATGAAAAAAAAAATGTTGTCAACACTTTGAATAATAGAGTGTTTTTTACCAATCAACTTGACTTGATCAAACAATAAATAACCCAATCCGTAATGTCATATATCGAAACCAAATGATTTTGAAATCTATCACTAACCGATTGAACATTAGAAAAATGTTTGACATGAGGAACTAGAGAATTTTAAACATATTGAAATAAGAATAATCATGTTTGAAGTTTAGCAATTCTAATTATTAGACTTGAAAAGATGTTCGGATCATACAAGAATCATCATCAAATATTAGTTTGTATTGTGAGTTTTTTAACCGAAGTAAGATTGAATTTAAAAGAAGAAACACAAATGACATCTCATAATGTGAAGAAAGATAACATATAAATTTGATCGACGTGATTAACAACAACTCTAGTACCATTTGACATTTGAACTCGTCATATTAGAAACTGGATTATGAGTGTTGAAAGAATCGAAAGAGTATGATATATGCTCAATTGCATCCGTATCTATTATTTAGGTATAAGTATTAAATGAAGAAATAATGCCTTATGTATGACAACAAATAGAAATAATAGAAACATTACTCGCCAAACTGGAAATAAGTTAAGTATGAGAAACAAGTGGAAACAAGTTAATACTAATAGATAGTTAAGGAATTAATATGATTTGAAGTTTGTAATGCTATAACATGTGAATCTTAAGCACTCAAAAGACTCATGAGTCTAGAAACTTGCTCTCGAGCGAAAATAACACTTGGAACTTAACCAGGTTATACGGACTCTTGAGCATAAGCAAATTCTTTTTGTTTTGAGGTAATATTATTGACATAAAAGAATTTTCATAACCACGACAAGAACCAAAACTTGAACTACCATGTCCATAATTCCCTCCATGAATATTAAAGGTCTTATTCTTAGTGAATTTAAAATCTGTAGAAAAGCTAATAAACTTATAACACTTCTCCTTATTATGATTAGATTTTTCATAGTAAGAACAAGTGATATCTATTCTTCTTTTATTATTAGAGAATGCAACCATAGCAGAGCATCCGTTAAAAGGTTGATTTTGAATTTGAACGGACATGTAAGATTCTTCTCTCATGGCCAAATTATAGACTTCATCTAAGCTATGAAATGGCTTTATAATCGGAACTTGAGACTTCGAGTGACGTGAATGATTTATTTAAACCATCGAGAAACTTAAAGACATAATCCTTTTCGTGAATCTCTACATACCTTTGAAAACACTCGGTATTGCAAGCTCCACAACCGCAATGAGGTAAAGGTATGAAGTTTCTTAATTATTCACATACTCCATTGAATTCGATAAAATAAGCACCAATAAATTTGGAACGTAGAGTGATTGAACACAGAGACCATTGTAAGTTTCATGTCCTTGATTCATCTGCACTGTAAGAGCCTTTTCTTTAAAACTTCCCAAATCTTCAAGGCCGAGTTCATATAAAATATCGTTGCAGTAATAAAAAGTGACATTGATCTTAATAACTAAACCACAATTAGGTTATTATACTTATTTCATGAATTAAGAAGAGGATCATTTGTCGCAGGTTGAGAAATATAACCATTAACAAAACTTAATTTGTTACAAATTGAAAAGGCAAACATAAAAGATGTGCTTCAAGTAGTATAATTCTCTATAGTTAGTTCAAGAGTAACTATAAAAGAATCATGATGATCTAAGAGATGGATATAACACGAAGAGCGATAATCTTCGGATGTTAGAGTTGATTCAACCATGACGGACAAATTGAAAAAGAGGAAGAAGATCGAATAGTGAAATGAAGAAATGAAATCTTGGAATACTTCATCGCTCTAATATTACGCCAAATGAGTATTTCAATATAAAAACTTAAGTCGTTAGGTAAGGTTTCATCAATGATTTTATACGACTCTCTAACATGATTCATATTGATCAAATTTTACTTGATTGCTTGCTATATGTGTTGGATCTTTATATAATCAATTTGATTTGTATAGATGAGGTCAAGTATAATAATTTATTGCTACTTGAAGCATTCTTGCTTAATAATTAAGAAAATCATTTTTTTAAAGCAATATGTTACCTATTTCAATAAAGTGAATAATAAGCTAAGTAGCACTAGTTATTTTTTGCTTATTTATATGATAACCTTATATTGGTGCAATGATATTTATTTATTTGTTGGATGATATAATTGATTTGTAAAATTGTTTGAGTCATCAAGCAATGACATTACTCTAATATGATTAAAAAGCACTCTCGGAAACATAAATTAATCTATTCTTCCCGATTCACATTCTATATTAATAAAATTAAAGATCATAACTTGTACGCTTAAAAGATATGCATTAAATCATTTGCTTAAAAGTGAGTGTCTGCATGTTAATTTTTGCAAAACGCTGTAACCATATTCACAATCATCGATTTAATAAAGCTTGCTGTCGATGATGCCTAGACCAGCAAGGATGGGACATTACGCCAGAGCAGGACTATCCCCACCGACCTCGTTTTCGGTTGGCGGTTACAAGCTTTAAAAAATAAATAAAATACAGCAGCATTTCCTTATGGGTAAGGCTGTGCTTTTTTTCACTATCCATGAAAAAAAAAAACGTTTCTTTCCTGCTCATTAGTATAGAAGATTCTGTTTCAAGACCCACTTCTATTACAACCACTTGATGAAACAGCTTAAGGGGCTGGCCTTACAGTTAAAAAGAAATTTGTTTTCTTATCTGATTTATTCAAATTTTGAGATCAATAATAAAAATAAGACTATTAAGTTTCAACTTATAAATTATCCTGAAAATATTTTATCCGTAAAATAAAAAAAGGTATTCCTAAACAAATTCAGTAATTTTAGCTAGTGGCTTTTGGGCCAATATACTAGTCAACTAATATTTTTCTATTAATATTATTCTTATATAATTATTTAACAAAAATTAACAATATTTAAATCTATTAGGTCTCGACTTATCAATTGGTTTGAAAATATTTTGTCAGTGAAATGAATAAAAAATACTCCTAAACGAAAGCAGTAATTATAGCCAGTGGGTTTTGGGCCAATATATTAGTCAACTATTTTTTTTCTATTAATATTATTCTTATATAATTCTTCAACAAAATTCAGTTACCAAAAAATTATCAAAATTTAAATAATTACGTCATATATATATTAAATGAATGAATTTCCTTAATAAATTTTATAAATGAAATGGTTGATATATTTTTATAAGTAAATTGTTTACATTGCTAAGTTTTTTATACACGAGAAAAAGGAAACTCTAATGTCTAGGTCTGACCACTTGGGAAGTAGGGATCTGATAGCTAACGAGGTCATCTCTATCCACACAATCACCAAGCTGGCAGCCTACCTTAATTAATTAAAGGATCCGTGAGTAAAAAATGATGGCGTTTTATACCATAAATGCGAAAAAGAGAAGCCATTAATGCATTTTGTATTTCTATTTTACATATACGTCAAGCACTACAAGAGAAAATAACGTAGGCAATAACAGCAGTATTATTTTTCATATACATTCTAATGTGTTCATGTAAAAAATTTGGCTAAACATTTTTTTTCTATAAATAGAAATCTTACAATCCACTCAATTAGTAAACATTAAGAGATTGATATTAATCATTAGCAGAGCAGGAGAAGTACTCGAATTACGAAACAAAAGAAAGAGTCGTATTACCAACATCAACTAAATTGATAATTAAAAAAAAAAAAAAAAGTGTTACTTGGTGTTTTATTATAATGGAGTTTTTTTTTTAAATTAAATATTAAAAAAAAATTGAACTTATGATTTCTTCGAAAGCAAAAAGCTCAGTAACACTTAACTAAACGCCTATATTGATAACATTTTCCTATTAGATTCAAAACTAATAATATAAAAAATTAATCTATTTATCATCTTTAGCTAAATCTCAAAAAATAGACCAATTAGCGTCAAGAATCCAAAGATCATCTGCGCATGAAACAAGAATGGATAGAAAGGATGATAATTTTGTGTTCAGAACCTTGTAAATTCTTAATGAGCTAAAGGAAAAAAAACAGAGAATTTTTTTTCTTAAAAGAACACTACAGATTGCTTTTCCTTTTGAGAGAATTGCATAAAACAGGAATGTTCTTTTCAAACATAGCAAAATCTATTCTCGTAAACGTCCTTGTATGGGATGAGAGAATCTTATGTGAAATGTCAATTACAAAAACTCTTATATTATTAATTGGATGTTAGCAAACTTGAGTTTTCAAGTCCTTTTCAAATTGAAATATCCGGAAAGAGATAGAAATGGATGGAATATATATATATATATATATGTCTCGATTGATGTCAAAATCTCAAGGGAGTCGAAGTTAAGAAGAATTTCCAAAGTTTTATTTTATGTTTGTTTTGTTAATTTTAATACAATAAATTAATGGGCCAACCAATCAAGTAGCTAGCCAAATTAATCTAGTACCTCCACACCGTCAACTGCCAAGATATCATGTGACATAATTCAAGTAATTAAGTTGGTTGTCGTTGGAACAATGACAATTTAATTGAAATGTTTGGATCAACAAAACCTGGGCAACTTGATTACATATACTGATGCAATGGAACTAGTGTCCTTTTCCTTGTGGATTAAGACAAACTGCCGAAATTAAAAGACAAATCTATTTCAGTATATAGTAGTTTAAAGATGGTTTAAAAAGGTTGATCAGATTTGTATCGCATACTTCCTCATGGTACATCCTAGTAGTTAGAATTTTAAATTTATTTTTATTGTGTATTTTAATATTTACCGTGTGCTATTTTTATTCTTATTGTGTACGTACGTAACTCAATACCTAGCTGTTTGACTGATGAATAAAAACAAAGATTCGTAACGCATAAAAACAGAGAAGAAAAAATAAATGGAGATGCTGACTGACTTAAAACTGGCACAATACAATATTTACTGGATATCATATCAGCTGCTTTGGGCCTAATCCCACTCCCACTGACGATGGGATAATTTTAGATATGTGGGCTATACCCCAAATGAACAACACCCCTTCATAAAAAAGCACAACCAGAATAAGCAGGATAGTTTGGAGCGGGAGCGGAGAAGGGTACCAGTTTAAGAGGGATAATTACGAGTTTACCTGGCCCAAGTACATTATTAATTCTGGGCTGTAGAGAAGACTGGCAATGGCTCACATTCATCTGGCCCAATACTTGGTGGGTTTTCAAGTCAAATCACATTTCAGTTCAAATCTTGTCATGGGCTTTGGAGGATTCTGAGACTCGAAAGGTTTATGTGGGCATTGCATTTGGGTTTGGACTTGGAGGTGTCTAAACTGTTATTTGCACCCTAGAGATGTTGGCCTAGGTGAGATGAGTCAGCATGCTCTCACGTTGTAATCTTCTTGTATTCAAATCCTAAAACGATTGCCAAAGAAATTTTCTTGCAAACACATCAGTTTATATATTGTCTCAAAAGAAAAAGGAAGTGGTCATAATTGGTGAAAACTAGTTCCAGTATGTACTGACTGTAAAGAACGGCCCTTAGGCCTCAGGGGGCTGGGTTGGGCTTGGGTTGGGAGATGGGGCGTTCTGGCGCACGTTTAACTTCGATCCATCTCGTTTTTTTGTTTTTTGTTTTTCTCTTTTTCATGGTCCTTTTTAGTTTTTAGTTAGCATAATTTTTTTTTTACTAGCACCAATACCTTTAAAATTTACCTCGCATATGATAAAAATATTCTTCATATAAAAATACTTTAAAAATCATAATACTCTATTTTTAACTTTCTTTATATGATAATTTTAAAGATTATTTTTCAAGAGTTCTTGTAATATGTATGTGATATCATATTTGTACTTCTAATTGCTAAGACCTAATCCATGAGAAATTAGTATAAATATTAAATATGTAGTTCAATAAACAATAAGCTAAGCATATATCCAAAAAATTAACTAATATTATAAATAATACGCGTGTGTGCAAGAACAAAGAAAATAAATTTTTTAAAATGTTATTATTATTTTTTTCAATAAAAAAGTTGTTTTTAAACTCGTTTTCGCATATTTAGGCTAATTCCTTCGTGGGCATGTCTTAAAAACGTTTTCTAATATATTATTTTAGATATTTTAAGAATAAATTTTTAAAAATATTGATCATAAGAATTAAATACTTATTTATCAACGTATTATGATCTTATAATTTTAATCGTTATTTCTATTAAATCTCAAACGTTTAAACAATGAGGATGATTCGTGATAGGCGAAAGGTTATTGAAATAGTATGAGCAGGGCCTAGAGACTTGGGCATGCGATGCATTCACAATTGGTTTGGAGAATTTCTTTCAGTATACGATAATCTTGACTTTTGAGAATGCTTTTGGTGATAAGGTGTCAACTATGATATCTTTCTCATTATATATATATACTTAACAAGTGTTTGGCTCTCTTTCATTGGCTCAATCGTTGAAGTGTCCATGTGCGTTCTAATCATCTATGGCTTTACTTTATGTTAAAAACTCTTTACATGTAGTCAAGAATCGATACACACAAAAGCACACATGCTTAAATCCCACCATAGTTTTGTTTAATTTTGTGCTTATAAGTTAAACTATTTTTGATCTAATTTCCAAAAATAAAAATGTTTTGCAAAAAAAATAAAAATGCATACATGGTATTTTAGGGGGAAAAAAAACCTGTTATAAGAGAAACATGTTTTCTCCCTATTTGTCTTATAATTATCCTTAAAAAATGCATTATTTATAAATATTGTAGAACCTAATTGATAGAATTTGATCATAACGAAGCTACTTTATCAAGAAAGATCACTTTTCCTAAATCAAAATATTGATAATGACTCGAATCAATTTATTGATTTTACGGTATATATTAATAGGAAAAGTGAGATCGAAAATTTAGACCCAATATATACAACAGGGATTTCTAATCATTTTTTTCTTCGAGAATCAAGGCACATTTTGTTCAACACCTTCCCATTACTTTTTCGAAAGCCAAAAACAATTTGCCAATGTGTTTCCGCAAACAATTTTTTGTAAAAATTTTCCTTTCAGTTGAGAATCTAAGGCCATGTTAGACTATTCTCTTCCTTTTCATCTTTTTCAAAATCAGGCTGTAAGATTTTCATCATGGCATTGATCGAGATTGGTAAGTGACAGACGTCATACCCCCTTCTTTTCTATGCTCTTTTTTCCTGGCCAGACACGCCTTTTCACAGGTCATAAAAGGAATGATTAGATCAAAAGTTGAGAAAACCTAATAAGTGACCCATGTTACCATGGTACCCAAAGATAGTAAAAAGTTTGAAAAAAATGGCCCCGATGTTGGCGATACGTACCACAAAAAGAAGAAAGTTTATGTTATTGTAAAAGGATTTATCGATATTTAATTAATGCAAAAATAAATTCAAATAAGAGAACCCAATATGAAAAAGATAATTAAAAAAATTAGCATAGATATATATGTTTGTCTAAGGATCATCTTGAAATTTACATATGCTTACGGTATCGTGTGTTTAATTAATTAAAAAAATAAAAAAATAAAATTTAAATTATTATATCAAATAACTATTTTAATTTAATAATTTAAATTGTTAAATAAAATCCAATGATTAGTTTTATATGACTATCTAACAATATTTTTAATTTTTTTATCGTTTGAATGTAATTTTGTTTTTTTATAAGAGTTTCTTTTTTCAAAATAAATTCATAAAGTAAGAATTAATAATTATTCATTGAATATTTTAAAAAAAAATTTGACAAAAAGAGCTAGAATTAAATTGAAATAAAACATGAGTTTTTTTTTTTTCCTTTCCCTGTTCGCGCCACAAGCTACCTTCAAAACATTTTCAAATCAGCTTTGATTTATTGAAATTAGAAATATATATATATATTTTTCTATATTCCTGTTTTAATTAAGTAATAGACAATCTATATTCACATTGATGCATTTATCAGAATTTTTCTTTCTCAAGCTCAACTTTTGCGCTGTCTCATTCCCTGCATTACTACAGCAAGGCAAACGGCTAATAAGTGATGGCCTCCTGTGCAGTACAAGGTCAAGGGCTTTAACCTTTTCAATGCCCACTTGTGGAACACCATCATTTGTGTAAGAAGGCGACCCTTCTCTAACCTCTTTTTGGTACTCAAAATTCCGAACTCAGTCTAAAGTGATAATAATTAGTAGCAAATTCTTGCCTTGATATTAGAGATATTTTTGACTTTAATGATAAAAGTAATTATTAGAATCAAATTCGCATAAGATACTTTATCAATCAATCACCAATCCAAATAGTTTGTGAGTTTTTCAAGAAAAAAGGCACTAACGAATTCGTTCCATGTTCATGAACAAAATTCCTGGACCTTGTTGTTCTTAAGGGCATGCCTGTTGCTCCAGCTTTTAAGCTTGTAGTTTTTATTAGAAAATCTTAAGTTTAAACTCCAAGGAAATGAGCTGGAAAATGTAGGAAATGTTAGAGAACTTTTGGAAAATGTGTTTGTGGTTGTAAGGGTCCCTTGGGTATGGTATTTGTGGTTGTATAAAGTAATTTGCATTATGTGCCCTTTTTTTTTTTTTTTGGTATTTAATAAGACTTAAAATTTTATAGTTAAAGATTTCATTTTATTGAAATAGAATAACTTTTAGGTGTGTCAGATTCAATGACCTTTTAAGATATTTTAATAAAAAAAAGAAAGAAAAAAAAACTTTATTTTACAACATCATCTTTCGGCTTTCAATTGATTTTTTTTTCACAACTTTCATAGTTTTATTTAAACATATTTTTTCACTGGTTTTTGAGGAAAAGAAGGCCATAAGCTATTAGAAGTATATTATACGGTTTAACTAGGTGTACAATTAGTTAGTCGGTTGTAAAATTAGTTAGTTAGACATGTATAGGTTATGTTGAGATGTAGAGGATAATAGCTCATACATGTGTATATATATATATATTGATTGTATACTTGTACATGAGATATATAAAATACAAGTGAACTTTCCTAAATATTGCTTCGCTAACATGGTATCGAGCTACAAACCTTAAATTTTCTTCTCTTCACGAATTGATATATGTTTTTCACAAATTGATACAAATTCCATTCATTTTTGTCTTTGCATCCCTTAGATACTTTGCATCCCTCATATACGCTCAATCTTGTGCTGGTTACACATTTGCTCAAATAAGAGGATGATTACGGCTCTTGGAGTAAAGCAATGATTATTTCCTTGGAAGCTAAGAGCAAGGATGGCTTCGTTACTTGGAAATTGTTCTAAGCTAGGGATTGGTTCTCTAGATTATAAGCAATGGAAGAAATGCAATACATTGGTTCACGTCTAGATATTGAACTCGGTTTCCTCACAATTGTTTAATGGATCGACAAATAACATGGAGCAAAATTTTTTGCTCTGCACAAAGAGATTAATCGTTAGTGCAAGGTTTTAATAGTGTTGCCATATACTACTCAAAAATCGAGACAGTATGGGATTAATATGATTCACTAATTCCGACCCTTAAATGTATATGTCCGACTTGTAGCAGTGAAGTAACTCAACCATTTGTTGAATATACACAACAACACAAAATGATGCGGTTTTTGATGGGTTTGAATGAGCAATACCGAGCTATGGGATCACAAATCCTATTGATGAATCCAATGTTTACTCGATCACAAGCTTATGCAATGATATCGAATGAGGAATCACAAAGGGGAATTGTTCCACATCCAGAGGTTCCTACGACCTTTTACTCTGCTAGGCCAAGGAATCAATATCAAACAAGGCCATTCTCCGATAGAAGCTCTTGGCGAAAGGAATTGACTTGTGAATATTGTCACATTTCGGGACATACTAAGGATACTCGTTATAAATTGTATGGATATCCAAATGTACCTAAAAAATTCTCTAGGAATAATAGGGGCGGACGAGGTAGTAATAGCTCTCACTTTTGGGGAGATAGACGGAAAGTATATAATGCTCATAATGATAGATGTATGTTTCTCAAAGAATTTTTAACCTTATTCACATTGATATCCGGGTTCCTATATGCACTCCACATATAATTAGGAGAAATATTTTTTCTCCATTGTAGATGATTTCTCTAGAGGAGCATGAACCTTTCTTATACAAACAAAGTCTCAAGACTTTTCCTTAATCTAACACTTTTATACCTTGATTCAAACCCAATTTTCTTATCATATTAAGAGAATTCATTCGGACAGGGGTTCCGAGTTCTTACGATGAACCCGTCAAGAATTTTTCTCTTCTAAAGGCATTATCCATGAAACTATCATACCCTACACTCTACAACAAAATGGTGTTGTGGAGAAAAAACACAAGTATATATTGAACATAGCCAAAGCCATTATGTTTCGAGTCCTATCTCCCTATTCACTATCGGGGAGATTTGTGTTTTGACATCCACCTATCTTATAAACAGTAACACCTACCTTATTGTTACATGGTAAAACTCTTTTTGAAATATTGTTTCATAAACCTCCCGATGTTTCTCATCTTAAAGTCTTCGAGTGCTCGTGTTATGCCAAAGTTTTACCTAATCCCGATAAATTTGCTTATCGTTCTACTGACTTATCTATTTTTAGGGTATGCTTACTCTAAAAAGAATATAAGGTCATGGATTTGAAGACCAATAAGATGTTTGTTTCTTGAGACATTGTATTTCATGAATCTGTCTTTCCTTATCAAAGCTCTTTAGTCTCTTTTGATAATCAATCCAACTTTAGTCCTCCCACTCCTATTTTTCATTGGCCGTATGATGATGATTTGTCATCCAATTCATCACCTCTTTCGATACCTCCTCTTTCTTCCAAGTGCTTCACTTCCCGCATCCCCTTTTGATAATATCTCTTCCGGTTCTTTCCCTTCGCTTCGTCTCCTTCTCGATCCATTGTTCCTCTACTCATTCCTTCAAGAAAATCTTTTAGGCCTTCTAAAACTCCTATCCGATCCAAAGATTATCATTATCCTACTCTGTCTCATTCCAACACTCGTCGCTTTTTCTTTTAATGCCGACCATCCCACTTCAAATTCATTCAATGTCTCTTATATTTCTCCTTCTCATGCAACCTTTCTAGCCTCTATTTCTCCTATTAGGAAACCCGATTCATACTTAGAGGCCATTAAGAATCCTAAGTGGGTAGAAGCTATGTCCAAGAAGATCTAAGCACTTAAATTGAACATAATATAAGTTCTAGTTCCTTTACCTTATGGACAGAAACTTATCGATTGTAAATGGGTTTTTAAGGTTAAGTTCAATTTCGATGGCGAGTATAGAAAACTATAAAGCCAGGTTAGTGGCTAAAGGTTACACTCAATAAGAGGGTATTGGCTATGGAGAACTTTCTCTCTTATGGTGAAAATGGTTATTGTAAGGACCATTATTGCCTTGGTCGCTATTCATGATTGGCCAATTTTTCGATTGGATGTTATAAATGCTTTCTTGCAGGGAGATTTACATGAAAAAGTTTATATGGATTTACCTCCTAGACTTGGCAATCATGGAAAGAATGTTGTATGTAGATTGCTTAAGTTTCTACGGCTTGAAACAAGCCTCACGATAATGGAACTCTAAGTTCATTGAGAAAATGATTGAGACCGGCTTTATTCGGTCCAAACATGATTACTCAATATTCATGAAACACACAAAAGGTAAGAAGGTCATCCTATTGGTTTATGTTGATGATATTTTGATCATGGAAAATGATATAGAAGGAATCAACAAACTAAAAATGTTCTTGTATGATAATTTCTATATAAAAGACTTAGGATATTTGAAATATTTTTTTAGGATTGAAGTTGCTAGATCAAAGGAAGGGATTTGTTTGAATCGGAGGAAGTATGTTATGGAATTACTACAAGATGTTGGATTACTTGGTACAAAGCCGGTGAAAATGCCCCTATAGTAGAACCTAAAACACACTACTTGCTCGGTATGATAAAGTGTTTCACCATGAATGTTCGGATACTATTTTGCCCAATCTAGTCGAGTATCAAAGGTTAATTAGAAAATTGATCTACCCGATAGTAACAAGACCGGACATTTGCTATCGTCGTCCAAATTCTCAATCGGTTTATGCACCGACCAAAGGTATCTTATATGCACTCGACCTTAAGGATACTTAGGTATCTTAAAGAGAGTCCAAGACTTGGAATCTTAATGTCATCTTCAAGTGATATGAAGCTTAGAATCTTTTATGATTCGGATTGGACGACTTGCCCAATGACAAAAAAATCTCGACGAGGTTTTTGTGTATTTCTTGGCAACTCATTACCGTCATGGAAGACTAAGAAACAAAATACAATCTCTCAATCTTCAATCGAAGCGGAGTATCAAACAATGGCTTTAGCCACTTGTGAGATAATTTGGTTGAATGGAATGTTAAAAGAACCGAATTTTATAGGTTTGGGACCAACTGAAGTTTATTGTGATAATATAGTCGCTCTACATATCGCTTCGAATCCAGTTTGTCACGAAAGAACCAAACACATAGAAATAGATTGTTGCTTGGTTCGTGAGAAACTAAAAGAAGGACTAATCAAAACCAAGTTTGTCAAGGCAAGAGAACAACTTGCCGACATATTCACCAAGGGTCTTGGCAGTAAGTAACACTAGTTTCTCTTATTCAAGTTGGGGGTTTATGACTTGTTTAAACCATTAACTTGAGGGGAGTATTAGAAGTATATTATTCGGTTTAGCTAGATGTACGAGTAAGTTAGCTAGACATGTATAGGTTATTTTGAGACGTAGAGGATAATAGCTCATATATGTATATATATATACTGATTATATACTTGTACATAAGATATACAAAATACAAGTGAACTTTTCCAAATATTGCTTTTGCTAACATAAGCTTTTTAATAGACAAAAACCTGAGTTACCCAAAATGCTCCAAATACCAATATTTGTAATCTCAAAACCCTCATCTAACAAGAGTATGAAGACATAATTAAATAAATAGAGTTTCTTCTGTCTCTAGAAAACTATTAACTTTCTTTCTCTCTTCCATGATGTACATAATGAATTTGCTCTTTAATTTTAACACATATGTTAAATGCTAATTTCTAGCTAGAATAATAAGCATATTGGATAGACATGATGTCCCTTTAATGTCTCCATCTTCCTTTAGACCGTTATATAATTTCACTCTTTCATTTCAAATTGCTTCCATGAAATTAGATTAACATCACTGTCAAAACCCATCTCGTACCTAAAATTCTTGCAGATAGGGCTACCCTGTTGTCCTTGAAGAATAATTGGATATATATAAATAACAAGCTTGAGTGAGAGTATTTGGTCCACGTAGCCTATAAAAGCTTTATGATGTTGACAATCTGTTCCAATTGTAGCATAGGAATCTTGATTAATCACTTCGTGGAAGTGAAGTTAAATTGGGTATGGTAATGTGACAATACCTTGTTAGATGATTCATCATTTTAACCTGTAAGGCAGGCCAGGTCAATGTCTGGTACCTTATCTCATCGAAAGCTTATCTTGATGGTAAAATAAATGCCAGATGGAGTGGGCTCAGCTTGCGGTTTATAGTAAAAAAAAAAAAAACTGCATGTTTGTGCCCATGTGGTGCTCTTGAAAATGTATGGGACAAAGCATTCTTAATTCTCATAATTGCAGTCATTTGTTAGAAAAATGGCATTCTCAAGACGCAGCAGTACTAGCTACTACTAATCATTTGACGCACATGATGATACTGGCCACTCTACGAGTTTTTACGCCAGCCTCGTTCATGAAGAGTAAAAGTTCGAATTAATTAAACTTAGATGGTAAATCTATTTAGTCTGCTTCTTATGTGATCATTTCAAGTTGTAATATTATACGAGGTATCATTTTAGGTTCAAATATAAAAAAATGCATGTCGTAAGAAATAAATTTCTTGTGAATATACCAATTCAAGTAAAAATGACTTGCTGAATAGTAAATAATTGAGGTTTAATATATACATATAATAATTGGGAAGGGTATATATCCTAATTGTTATAAAAGAAATAAAACTTTCTTAAAAATTCTCAATCAAGTTATTAAAATAATGGCGAGTGACTATAAAAAAATTAAAATAAAAAAGGACTAGAGTTGTATTTCAAAAAGTTGCTTAAATATAATAATTTAAAAACTTTGACTTCTGTTATATTATTTGCAGCTCAAATTCAAGTTCTAGAATACCCAAGATAAGTAAAGCGCTGAATGCTTCTATGTACAAACCAGTCCTGCGTTCAGGGCATATCAACTTCCAAATCGAGTTCAAATCCTTTTTATCCTACTTTGTCAAATAACTTGTGTTTCTGTCTTCCATTTTTGGGTTTTTTTTCCATCTCTAAATTAAGTTCAACAGTCACATTTATTAGGTGTGGAAAAAAAACACTTCTCACTGTACTACTAAGGGTGATCAGCTTCTTTATAGACTGACTTTCTAGGTCCAAAAAGTCTCTAGGGCACAGACAGAGACACATCCAATTATACAGTGGTACATGAATATTTTGTATTGTACAGAAGAGCAGTCACGAGGAGAACTCTTACACACTCAGATCTGAGAGAATATTTACTCACTTCTGAGACAACAACATATAAAACAACGAAACTGATGTCTGCAACAGCATATTTCTGCACACTCATAACACTAACAACAATATAAATTGATGGCTTTAACGTACAGAGTATCAGAAAGACAGGGTCTTTTTTATTTTTTTACCGAGAAAGAAAGACAAAAGACTTTTTTTTACAAGCGATTCAAGTACTCTTTACAGCTCTTACTTACCTCCTCAAAGAACACTTAGCTCGAACATGTTAATTTCTTCCTTGGAGAGTTCACATGTATGAAAATGTAAACCCCACATGGCAAGTAAGGTTCCATCGCTTGCATGAGCTTTGAGAGGTTGTTGATTTGACTTTAAATGGGTGATTTCGAATCGAAACACTATGAAGTCTAATTCAAATAGCTCAGGAGGGATAGACAAGGAAGGAGAAGATGAGTTGGACGGAAACTGGAAAAAACTTTGTCAAAACTCTATATCAAAACATTTTGATGCAAAGACGATGACATTAGAAAAAATAAAAACAAAAAACAAAAAACGGGGTCTTACAAGGTCAAGAAAAGGTCTTACAAGGTCAAGAAGAAAAAAAAACAAAAATAAATTTGAAAAAAAAAAAAAGAGATAGAAAAAGCTCAGGTAGGATAGCACCCAGTTAACACAAAAATACGATCTTTTCAAATGAACTTCCAGCTCCAAATCGAAAGCCAGCAAAGAAGCCATCTGTAAAGTGTCCTTTCAGGCCTGTAGGGTAGCACATGATGGCTTTGTTCTTGCTCTTATACAGGTTACCTGTATGAGAATCATATCATATATAAGAAATTAAACTTAAAAGAATATATTAATTATTGGCTACAAAAAAAAATCAAGATAGCAGACAAAATGATAAGGAGACGTAGTCCTCCTCTAATCTAACTTCTAAACATAAAGCATCTCATCTTTCTTTCAATTCTTATGAATATCCAGACAAGCTGAATATGACAATACAAATACCATATAGATAGTGTTGACTTCAAGTAACACCAGAGCTTTTGACAGTCCATATACATTACTTACTACTCCATAAAGTTTTCCATACCTTCCAGAAACTCATGCGTTTCTTTCCCCTTTGAAAGCTCCTTTTCTTCTCTTTCCCCCATATTGTGTGTGTGTGAGAGAGAGAGAGAGAGAGAGGAACTACTGAAGTGTGGGAGTAAATGCAATATTACAACGAAAAAGTGAGGAGTGGCAATAGGTATATATGAAGGAGATCAGGCCAGTTGGGCTGCCTGTTGGACCTGACAGTGACAGGTCCAAGGCCCAGAAAGAATAAACAGACTCCAGGTTACGTCAGCTTTCGAAAAAGCTACCCGCCGGGCCTGACCGTGTTGCCCGGCCGACCGTCTGGTAAGGTGTAAAAATATTACTCATGCAAATGCATAGTAAATAAGGGTCAGTCGACAGTCAATATGTCCAATTTATTATAATTAGATTAATAATAATATTAAAATTAATTAATAAGAAATAATAATAATAATATATATGAAAAAATAAAAAAATATTGCCTAACCTTGCTGTAATTTTATCACCACTTGGTTCCAAATATATATATATATAAAGGGTTTTACCAATTTATAGTTGATATATCCTACGATCTATTTTGATTGAAACTTGTATTCTTTGTTTTTTTTTGCTTTCATCTTATCATTATAATGTCGTTAGTTTATGAGCTAACGTAACAAATCTATTTCTGAATGCTTAATATATGCCATACGCGTACTCCATAGAGGGACTCAACGAAAATCAATTGTGAAGAGTATTTTTAAAAGGATTATTATAGTAATTTAAAAATAAAAAAAATACATAAAAAAAATGAACCTAACATGCATTAAAAAAAATAGAGTACAAATATTTTTGTCAAAATTAAATTAAAAACAACAATCATGCTGATTAGTAGTTAATTATGTATATTAAATATATATAAAAAAATGATGTAGTACCTATTTATTATTATTATTTGAGGAAGCAACCTCATTTTTCACTTTGAATTTGTCAAATATTAAAAAAAAAAAATTGTATGGAGGGTTGAACCCATTGACTAGAAATCTATGACTAATCAATATTGCACATCAAAATTCTTTTTTTCACCCATTGCATGCTAGGTTTGTTTTTTTTTTTCTTTTTCTTACATATTATTTTTAACTTATTATTAAAAAATTAGTTTTTAAAGGAAAAATCACTTCACAATTTTAGTGTAATCGTCTTGCATATGACATATTCTTTGCATTTAGAATGAGGTTTTTTAAACAATAATAAAATATAAATTAAAATTGATAATTTGGTCATTATATTCTTCAAATTGTATGAATTAAATAATTGTATTTTTTGAATTATTTTCATTAAGTTTCTCTATTAAGATCTCACATATGACATGTGTCAAATATTCAGAAATGAATATATCACGACAAGTTATGAACCAACCGATATTATAAGTAGAAATGAAAAATGTAATAAAATAAAGAGCAAAGAAAATAAATCATTATTAAAAACAAAAAAAAAAGGGAGATTAATGGTCATGTGATATATAGCTGAAGTGGCAGCTACTGATTTGTCATATGGATTAATTCCTTATGTGATCCCAAACGTTACACGTTTGGTTAAAAAATTGAACTTAAGATGACGATTGAGTAGTGATGTGACCAAGCGACAGGTGTCAACGGATACCTCCCAAGGTTTTACTTCAAACGAAAACCAGAGACAGTCAGGCCTCTATGATCACCTTAACTCGACGCTCCTCACAATGTTGGCTCGGACAATCAACCCAGACAACCAAGATATTGTTTCATGCACTAGCGAAACAAAAACGTACATGCATTTAATAAAAGCATATTTTCATATTACCCTTGTCTAATCAACACTAGCCCTGACGTCACGATGGCTGCCAAACCGTATCCCTAACATTTGTCATCTAAATTGATGTCAAAGACTAGGCAATAAAAGAATAGACCTATTTTCCCTCCTCTCCATATAATTTAATCAGGCTCTCGCCTACTGTAAAGGTCCTCGGGACAAACTCTTTTAACTCTCAATGTTACTATTTATCATCTCTTACATATTTACACAGTTATGTTACAATCTATTCAAACATCTCTTCTCTCTGTACATAAATTAAGTCATCCATAGATCCTCCGATAAAAAAAAGGACTTATTTTGTAGGTACTTTGCACGTATTAGTTCATCATTTATTATCAGTCTCTGTCGTTCCTCCAGTCTTAAGAAAAATTACGTCCTTATCATATTTTTGTTTGAGATTTATCTCCTCACCAAATAACATCCTCGCAATTAATTTCTATATGCCTATGCCTTTAATTTTAGGTTTAAGTCAAAGCGTTAAAAGAAGTATGCGGGGAGTAATAATTTTTTTTCAATAATTAAATATTACATGCGATAAGAGCATATTAGGATCAACAAGTGAAAAGACAAATCCATGAATTTCAATTTGATAGTTGCTATTGGTTTCATGCAAAAAATTTCTTATGGTAGGTGAACTTTTATCAACTTTATAGATTACTCGTCTATTATTTATTTATTTCATGTGAGCTAAGTTGTCTGATACTCTTGTAGATTATTTTTTAGGATGAGCTTAAGGATATTTGCTTGGCCTTTGGATATTTTTTGGGTTTTCATATTATATTAAATTTGATAATTGAGATTGTGTTATCTTCAAAAGATTTAAACTTTATACTCGATTAGTCATTTATCTATTTTATATATTATTGATCCATTATTTATTTAATATTCAAAAATAATATAAAATTATTTTAAGGTCTCATTCAACGATGAAACTTTTTAAGTTGACATATTTTTTTGACATAGCATCAAAGTCTAACTGATCCTACAATCACGTCCGAATCTCACTATTCATTCTTTTAATAATTAAACATATGATAATTTTGAATCCGTATAAATTTTAAATTCAAACACTTTTACTTAAGAAAATATATTGAATAATATAAAGATATTTATAAAATTTCTTCTAATAAGTTAAACTTTTAGATTAAAATAGTGATTTGACATGATCATAGCCTCTCATGACCTCATCTACATTGAAGCTTAACCCCTTAACTTGGATGCCTTCAACTTTTATTATACTAAAAAAAATACAATATATTATGTATGTGCTTCGAGGACAATGGAATTATAGGATTAACTATTAAATTCAGCTGGAGTTTGGACAAAGAATCGGGCAATGGGAACCTAGGTACTTGTAATACGGTGTCAAAACCTTAAATTAAAGTACATATAAGTTATCAAAAAACAGTCAAGTGTGTGTTTCTTTAATTGTCCAAAGCTTAAGCAAAGCATAAACAATTTGCTGGGTGTTTGTGGGGAATAGAAACCTCAAGGGCGGGCGGGCAAAGGAAGGCATAATCCCTCACGGTCTCCTAAGATACGGTCAAAGAAATACAAAAGTATCTCACCTTCTCCAATTCCTTGGCCTGCGTTTCTTTATGGTTTGTATAATTATTTTTTGAGAGTTTTTTTTATAATTGCTTCTTCTTCTTCTTCTTCTTTTTTTGTTTTGTGTGTGTTGGGGGGGGGGGGGGGGTGCAATATTCAAACCATCAAAATTAGGTCTTACATTTAAATCCTAAATTAGTGTATTGACGAAAAAATCTTTTATTCTTATGATCTCTCTAGCTTAGATTTAAATCCTGAAAGATAAGATAACATGCATCACCACCAGATCTGGTGTAAGTTTAGAGGTTTTTTAACAGAATCAATTAATTATATGTGTACATGAGCATATTGTTCCGCATGGTATGACCCTTACCGGGTGGTAGCTTCGAGAGCCAGCCAAAATATGATGTTATGTCAGTAGAATATTAGTTTCGCAAACATGATGATATGAACTGACAAAATATTGCTTAGATATGAATTATTTATATAACCATTATCGTAAACATGATATTGTAAGGTGACAAATCCTCTTTGGGTATATAGCGTTAGCTACACACCAACTGTAAGTTCTTTGCGCAAAGAATAATTTGATTTGCAACCGGCACTCGCAAAAAGTTTTTAGAATTTACCATTATATATATATATGGTGAATTAGTACATGAATTTATTAGGGTAATTTTGATATATCTTCCCTTCTCTCTGTACACAGTTGTACACTGAAGGAGTATTCCGGCACAGTCTTTGGGCACATGTTAACAGCATCTAACTTAATTTTGAGGTTCTATCAATAAACTCTAATTTAATTAGCTTAGTGTACTCCATCCTTAAAAAAATTTCAAGTCGGAACATTTTTTTTTAAAAAAATATTAAACTCTATAGTGTGGTTTGACCATTAGAAATGAAAGATTTGGAATGAAAATATAAAAATTAGGAAATAAGGATAACATTTGCATTCGCATATAATGTCTACGATAGTAATAAAAAATTGAAATAAAATTTAATTTTTTTAATGTTTAATATTTAAGTTTTTTTCGATGGTGGCTGGATCAGATTAGATTGATATAGGTTTTGTCTATTGATAAGATATTTGATCCGATATTTATCTTTCATTCATTACTATAAAAGAGTCTCTTTAAATTTCTTATACTGCACAAAAACATATATCTCAAAAAAAAAATAATAATAAATAAATAAAATAACTTTAAATATAGAAGTAAAATATTATAACTAGCATTCACATTAATTTTTTTATTTACAAAATAAATTAAAATTTTTAATAATAGTTATAGATTTGTACAAATTTCAAGATTCAATTTTCTAATCAGATTAAAAGTTTTAGCACAAAATAGTGGTGGTTAAAATGGTTCTATGGTGGAAGGGACTTCATTTTGACAAACAAGAATTGGATTAAAAATACCCGAATGAGAGTAAAAAAAAAAAAAGGGAAAGAAAAACAATTAATTTATATTCTATATTGGTTAATTATTACCCAAGCCAATGTTTTTTTTTTTTTTTATGGTTAAAATATTTTGGATATAAGGCATTTTCTTGTTTTTAGAATTTTTATTGGTTAATTATTACCAAAGAGCATATCTCATGTGATAGTAGAATTTTTCTTGTTTTTAGAAAAGAATTCGAACCTCTCATCTGTCAAGGAAAAAAAAAAGAAAACTAATTATTATAGAGCCGTTTCATCTTTCCGATCGGATAGCTCCCACGACCTGGACCAAGAAAGGTTGTGTTACTCAATCAATGTTACTGTAAATTGAAAAGTTTATTTATATACGTATGCTCTCTCATTGGAGCCATTCCAACATGTGACAGGCAACCATAAACATAAAACATGTATCAAGATCCGCGCGCGAACAACACATATTTTAGCATGCGTTGGTGGGTGCATGCCACGTGTAAATTAATCATAGGCATTGTTCCACACGGCGGCCGGCCACAGGCACTGGCAGGCCGATTGTCCTCTTCCACCATTTAGGATCCACCTTGTTAAACTTTGCCATTATAAATCAGTAACTGCAGTTGCAGCTAATTGGCACCAGAATAGGTTCGTCCTGACCCCAGAGGGACGGGCACAAAAGCTGGTTCCAGTCCCTTTTTATGTGAATAATATTCCCAATATTCCCATTCTAGATCTGCCCATACTTTGTGCCTTCCATATTCTACTGTTTTGTGTCTCTGTATATGCTGATTTACTTATTGTGTATTTTATGCACTCACTCTGTTAATTTATTAATTTTACTTGAATTGAAAGAAAAATATGCATCGTGTCCCTTCTGTTTGGATCAAAATAAAATGGAAGGAACAACCTACCAATGGCAACCAGACGGCATGGTAGATGCTAGATAGTATAATTTAAAAGGGTTTGACCAAAGAGTACATGAGAGCAAGGTTGCTATCGTTTCCTGATTGCAAGGCATGAGCAGGCCAACCTTGAAGATTCTAACCTTTTCAAAATCTTAATATCGCATCAAATAGAAACATAAATACAGAAAAAATTGAGAGTGAACTCCAGCATAAGACTTGAATGTTTTGAAAACGCTTTAAATTAAATACGATAACAGAGTTATTTAAATAAATACATGACCTAATTAATGACTCGATAGAACATGGGAATTTCTCATATTGTTTAACAATCTCAATAAATATTTGCAATTAAGCCAACCAGAACAAGGGAGAGTACCGTAGGGAAAACAATCCTACATCGAATAAAAACATAAATATAAGAAGAAGAAAAGAGAGAGATAAGAAGTAAGGAATGTAGCATCCACCATATGCATGGTTGAGCGACTCTTTTTGGAAATATCTCAAACTTAGCATACGATTAGTGAAAGAAATGGACACATAACAGAATATGGAAAGTAGTAGTTAAAACAAGGTTACATTTCAACAAAATTAGCGTCTTTTTTTTTTTGGTCATAGGGTAACATGAGTTATCTTTTGTCAGTACGTGGGCACAGTTACTTGCAAATAAATAACAATTGGAGGGAGCAATGTGCATGGCAAATTGTAATAGGTTGCCTTGTTTAGATATGGTTATTTGATGTGACAAATGTGACCCTTCAACGAGTATAATTAGAAACCATCTGTGAAAAAGGAGTCAGTGAAGTACTAGTACACATGCAATAAATGAATAAATCCATTAACGTAAGGTTACATCATTTTGCAGCTGTGTAAAGCTTGAAGCAGCTCTCATTGTTACATCCAGTGACTTTGATGGTAATAAAATTGCATACCCAAATCAGGAAATCAATAATGTTGATGATAAAGGAGTGCTGAAAGAAGAATTGCCACCCGTGTATGTCCCATTAATTCATTTTGCATGTGCATCCAATATTGAGCTGTTTTGGTATTTTTGGAGAGGAGACCCCATTTGGGAGAAGAAAGGAACAAAACCTGAAAAGATTCTTGCAGAGAAAAAGAATACCGAATAATTTGAATTTTGGTTCGGTGGTCCCCCTACATTTTCCTGCTAAAATGGTGACACCCCCATTTCTTTTATTCAAATTATTAATTCATTTCCGTGTGAAGTCTAACCCTGCTGCGGTGACAATATTTTTTTTTCAAATCTGGACACTTGTCATCTGTAAGTTGCTGGAGGCCCCATAATCAGTGTTTTTCCATCCAAAACGCAACAGAAAATCCAAATTGATTTTAATTCGTTTTTTGGATCTTTCAATCATACTATTAATTAACATTTCTATAAATTCTGCGGCATTTGTCGAAGGAAGAGTAAAACTGAGCTACTAGAAGACCATAAATGTGGAGTTTGACATTTGGCTAGGAATGGAAATCATGTGACCCAATCACAAGACAAACAGACCATGACTTCTCGTTATTGTTAGGCTCACCTTCTACCTAATAATATCTCATGTTAGGAGAGCTTAAGAGATGTTCATGTTCTTGCAGCTCTCTGTTTTTTTTTTGGTCCAAAACAATTCTTCCAAACCGAATAAGCAGGGAAATCATGACATGGGCTCCAGGCTCTCAGCCCATATGGTTCCCTTGATATTCAAAGTTCAAACAGCTTTAATCTAATCTTAGTCGAGGCCTGACTCAAGCCCAACTCCCTAACCAGTTGAATAATGATTGCCTGCTTAATTAGCAGTTAGCACCTTGCATTGCATAAACAATGTCTTTAAGATTTGTTCTGAATACAATTCACTTGATGACGTTTTTTTCCTCCTTTTTTTTTTTTTTATATATATATATACATTGAACTAATATTTTAGATTTCTTATCTCGTTATGAAGACAAAGTGATCATCAACATCCAGATCCACATTAGAATTTCTTAAGTAAACAATGCAATTTGTTTGTTCTTTTCAGTATATATTTCAGAAATTGTATGATTGTGACTTCATACAAAATCAAAGGACATTAATAAATTATTAGAGATGTGGCAATTGATTGTAAGCTCATTGTGAGTATTTTAACTTTTAAAAATCCACCGAATGATAATTATAGAAAAACTTGACTTTATATATATATATATATATATATATAATCAATAATTTAGGTTTTCTATCTTGTTACGAAGACAAAGTGATCATCAACATTAAATTTTCATAGGTAAACAATGTAATTTGTTTATATATATATATTCTTAAGAAATGATTATGATTGTGACTTTATGTTATGGTCTAAGCCCGAGTATATTACCTACCGAGTTGTTATGGTCTACAAGTCCACAACAAAGACCAAGTCATCTAGTAGTTGTTTGTTTCTAATAATGTTTCTACAATCAGTTAGTATTTCATAAAGAATAGTTCTTTTAGTTTTGTTTTGTCGATCGGTTTAGGAAGGCCAAATAATCTCGATAAATTGTTTGGATTTAATTCTCTACTTTATTTTAATATTATCATTGTCATCATCTTTATTTAAAGAGCCTTTGAATTCAATAATAGGCATACACTTTTTTGTTAAATATCTTTTATTGTTTATGTTCTATTATGTATTAACCATTCTTTCAAATATAGCTCATAGTAGAAACGAGGACTCGAGGTCGTAGCGTAGACCTTGGAGAGATCCGGAAACATATCAAATTAGTATCGAGCCTCGTTTTCATGACCAACGAATAAAAACGACCAGCGGTTCTTACGACTCGAGCACCGGATCGAGAGTCTCAATAGACAAATTATGGAGATGCTACAAGCCTTTCAAACAAGGGAGGAGGCTTTTATGAGTCATCAAGGTTCCCTACGATACCATACCAATGGGGATAAAACTACTAGCAACTTTGCTCCCGGACTAATGAAATTAAACGTTTTGCGATTTGATGGATCGAGTGACCCCACACTCTAGATCATTCGAGTTGAATAATTTTTTGATTTTCGAACATCGTCATAGAAGAGAAAGTATGTTTATCGAGTTATCTTTTGGAAGGAGATGCTCACTGTGGACCCAATGGCAAAGGAATTTACGATTAGGACTCACATGACGCGAGTTGAAAGAAAGGTTTTTCTAAATAATTTGATATGTCTTATTAATGAGAATTCTTTTGTCGACTTAAATAAACTCAAGCAAACAGGAATGGTTCGCGAGTACCAATCAAATTTTGATAGATCGTTGGTTCGAGTACGGATTATGTCCGATGACCGAGAGGTGGGAGTCTTTATTAGTGGATTGAAGGAACAATTACAAGTTGGTGTGCAAGCCTAAAGGCCACTAACTCTCAATGAGGCTATTACACTAGCTTGCATTTTTTATAGTAGATCCAACAAACTTTAGGACCCACGGGCTAGACGGATGGGTTGAAAGCCCTTAAATCCCAAGCCTACCGAACTTAACCGAAGAGAGAGCCTATTATGGAATAAATCGAAGGCTTTATCAACTCATCTTCTTCTCTCCCACCGTCCCTTCTAGTTCATTGTTTCACACCTACGGAGCTACAACAACGACGTCATAAGGGGTTGTGTTTGCATTGTGATGAAGGATACAAGATAGGCCATAATTGCAAGAAACTATTTTTCATCGATCTAAAGTATGAATCCGAGGATAATTTTGAGCTCCTTCTGCCGATTTTGCTACTCGTTGAGGCCGAGCCTCTAAAAATTTCTCTTCATGTACTCATCGACATTCTAATTACTCAAATCATAAGAGTACATGGCAGTAAGGGAAAATCATCATAGTCCTTGTTGATTCGAGTTCAACCCTTATTTTTTTGCATGGACGAGTTGTAAAGGCCGCCAACCTTCCAATTGAGTCGAGACCCTCCATGAAGGTGATGGTTAGCATTGGGGAAAAGTTGGACAATATGGGAATATGCAAACAAGTACCTTTTGTTTTACTTAATTTTTTGTTCCATATTGATTTTTTTTCTTCTACCATTAAAAAGATGTGATACTATACTCGAAGCAAAATGGCTCTAAACTCGGGACTAATCCTTTAGAACTTTAATAATATGGAGATGAAGTTTAGAGCTAGAGACATGAAGATTACATTAAAAGGAATCAAGGTTATCGAGGCCAAATTAGTGCGAGAGAAGGCACTAAGCAAAGCATTATGAGAGACCTAGGGAAGGGGGATTTATTATAAATATATTTAGTTCCCAATCAACAAGTCGTAGAGTTAAAGGAATGGTAAAGATTCTAACATGAGTTTCTTGATATTTTTTCATAGGTTGGATAACTTATCTTCGAGGGGAGCCTTGACCATGAAATTCCGAGTGAATGAGGGTAGTAATCTAGTAAATGATAGACCTTTTACATGTCATTATTTTCAAAAGTAGCAAATAGAGAAACCGGTAGTTGAGATACTTTTCCGAGGTCTAATTTGCCTTAGTAAAAGTCTTTTTTCTTCCCTAGTATTGCTAGTCAAAAAGAGAGATGACTCATGATAATTTTGTGTGGACTACAAGACATTAAATAAAATCATCATTAAAGATAAATTTTTGATACCTATGATTGAGGAATTGTTAGATGAGTTGGCGAGAGCAAAATGGCTCACTAAATTAGACATTTGGTCGAGTTACCACTAGATAAAGATGCACTTTACAGCTATTGTAAAGACTATATTTCACACTCACTATGTCCATTATGAGTTTCGGTAATGCCTTTGGCCTTTCAAAAGCTCCTTGTACATTCTAGGCTCTTATGAATGAATATTTTAGTCATATTTGAGGAAGTTTGTGTTGGCTTTTTTTTATGACATTTTAATTTATAGTAAGAATAGATGAGCATTTATATCATGTAAGGATGGTTTTTTTTTTTTAGTGATAATTAACTTGTTGTTAAAAAAGAAAAAAATGGAAGTTTGCTCAACGAACAGTGTTCATTATTTAGGGCATACCATTAACGAAAAGGGAGTGATAGTTAATCTTGACAAAATCGAAACATGTTCAATTGGCTTGAGCCGTAAACCATTAAGAAGCTACAAAGGTGTGATGGGGTATTATCGGTATTTTACGAGTAGGATATGGGTCGCTTACTTGACCATTGACAAACTTGCTTAATAAAAATGCTTTTTCTTAGAATAGCGAAGTCGATGGTGCATTTCAACAACTCAAAACATCCATGACTCGGATACCTATTGTGGCCTTATCTAATTTCTCTCTCTATTTATGGTGGAATATGATGCTAAAAGAGTAGGGATTGGAGTTGTCTTTATGCAAAATCAATGCCTAATTGCTTACTTTAGTGCTAGCCTCCGAGGTAAAAACTCGTCCCTTTTCATTGATGAAAAGGAACCAATGGCTTTAGTTTTGACGGTATAAAAATAACGATTCTACATATTTGGGATGTGTTTCACTATGCGAATGGACCAACGAAGCCTCAAATATTTATCGGAGTAGAGAATTACAATCAAGGCTTAACAACGATAGTTGATCAAATTGTTGGACTATGATTTTTGTATTGAATATAAACAGAGTCAAACAAATGTTGTTACAAATGCCCTTTCTAGGAGAGGATAAGGGAAACTTCATGCTTTATGCATTCCGGTGCCACAATGGCTTACATCCATATAGTTGGAAAATGGTAAATATCCAAAACTTAAGAGGTTACACAAACCGGTGCATCAAAGAGAGGTCGTGGGGCCATGACGGGTTTGAAAAGGTATTTTTTTCTTCAATAAAATGATTTATCTACCTTATAACTCTTCCCTCATTCCTATTTTACTTATGATAGCAGCCATGAGAAGTATCATAAGACTCTACATAGACTCAAAGAAACTTTTTACTTGAAAAAAATGAAAGACGGATATCGTTAGCATATCCGAGAGTATGATGTTTGTCAATAACACAAAGTTGATTTGTAAAAAAATGTAGGATTGCTACAATTAGTACTAGTGCTTCATTAAGTATGGAGAGACATTTCTATAGATTTTATTGATATCCTCCCACTCTCCGGAAATAAAAAATATCATATATGTGGTAGTAGATAGGTTTTCAAAATATGCTCATTTCATTCATATCTCTCACCCTTATATTGCTACTAGTATTGTCGAGTGTTTTTCGATAGTATTTTTAAACTTCATGGCATGCCTCTACCTATTGTCTATGATCGTGATCTTATTTTTACAAGTATTTTTTAGAAGGAACTTTTCAACTTGTAAGGAACAAGCTTTAATTTTAGTTCTGCTTATCGACCTTAAATAGACAACTAGATTGAAGTGGAAATTAGGACTATTGGGATGTACCTTGTCTGCTTCACCAGCTTCATACTAAAAGAGTGGACTAAATGGATTGCTTGGACCGAATATTGCTACAACACGAGTCTCTACTTTGCCACTTAGCTTACCCTTTTTGAAATAGTATATGGTCGCCTTCCACCAACACTCTTCTCTTATGTTCTCGGCATGGCCAAGTCTAGGCTATGGAGGATTCATTGGTTCAATGAGATATGGTTCTAAAAAGCTCCGTTCTCATCTTTTTGGGGCATAAAAAAGAATGAAATAGGTCTATTATCGACATTATGTGGATAAAGAATTTCAACGAGGTGATTGGGTCTATTTGAAGTTGTAACCATATAGACAATCCACTATTGCTATTCGTTCTTCTAAAAAATTTATGGTCGATTTTTTAAGCCTTTTAAGGTGCTAGCACAAATTGGTTCGAGTAACTTATAAACTGCAATTGCCATCCTCTAGTAAGATTCATCCTGTTTTTCATGTGTCGACCTTGAAAAGGAAATTGGGTAGCTTAACTCAAACCTCTACACGCTTGCTAGACTATTGTGCGTAAGATAATGTTTCCATAAATGTTCTAACAAAGAATCTTAGGGGTGAGAGGACGAGGCGAGAATCAAGCATTCTTCGTGCGGTGGCTCAACATTGATATTTTCGAAGCTTCACGGGTTAATCGTAAGACATTCTTGTAAGATTTTCCTAATTTCTCCACTCCTTGTGAATAAGGAGAGTCTCGAGGGGATGAGCTATTATAGTCCAATACCGATCCATTACGAACCAATTGTTATAGTTTAAGTCTAGTCCATTGCCTGAAGTCCATGACAAAGATTAAGTCATCTAAGTAGTTGTTTGTTTCCAATAATGTCTCTACAATTAGTTAGTTTTTCATAAAAAATAGTTCTTTCAATATTGTTTTGTTAGTCGGTTTAAGAAGGCCGGATAATCTTGATAAGTTGTTTGGATTTAATTCGCCATTTTTTATTTCAATATTACCATTGTAATCGACTTTATTTAAAGAGAATTTGAATTCAATAATAGGCATGAATTTTTTTGCCAAATATATTTTATTGTTTCTGTTTTATTATATATATTAATCATTTTCTCAAAATAGCTTAGGTAGAAATAGGACGTGTGGTCGAAAAGTAGACCTTGGAGAGATTCGGGAGCGTATCACTTTGACCAAAATCAAAGGACATTAAGAAATCATAAGAGATGTGATAATTGATTGTAGGCTCATGATAAGTATTTTAACTCTTAAAAATCCATCGAATAATAAATATTAAAAAACTTGACATTTTGTAAAAAAAATTACAATTCGGCGGGTAAAACATGTGTGCTTAAGCAAGAATGAAAATTGCCTCTCTCTTTATAATAAATCATCCAACAATTAAACAACAAAAGATTATTCCATTTTATAATCAATCTAATGTCTCAAAAAAGAAAAAAAGTTTGATATTTTAAAGTCAAAATGCTATAACTAACTAGTAACATCTCTAAAGACACATTTCAATAATTAAAATTTAAAAGAATTGTCCCATTCAAATCTTAGGTACGATAAAAATGAGATTGAGGGAATTAACCCATTATTGCATAGCCGAAAATTCGTAGGGTCTCTCGATAAAACAAAAAAAAAAAGAAAAGAAAAGAAAAGAAAGGAGAGACTAAATTATCTTCATTATTAAAAATCAACCGAATATCTACAACGAAAAATACCACCACCTCCCTCGTGGAAAAAGAAAAGAAGCGTCTATTAATTTAAGGATTGATATGATTGACGCAGCGGGTCTTTAATAGTGAAGTGCTAACTACGGTAGCCTTAATGCATGCACAATACTACCAAATAATTCATTGGTTGCAAAGATAAGATTTTTTTTTTTATTTAATTAAAGAAAAGAATGAATGATAGAATCGTAAAAACAAGGAAAAAGGTCGATATGATTGGGCTGAACCATGTGGATTTCAGGACCACTTAAATCCCTATCTATCAAAGACAGAAGCCCATAACTCTCAGAGCCATGCAACAAACGCACTTCGGTAAACCACGACATCAAGTGGGTCCGGTATGTAATCTCTCTCTCTCTCGTATTCTCGAGGTATTCGACTTACTATTCGATCGGACCTACCAAAATTGGCACAGCCACCCAAGGAATTTATCCACGTACAAAGATTCTAACCGAGAATGCCCTCTTACGCCATTCAAACCAATATTTTAATCGGTACGTGATGTCTTTCACGCACCATCACTTTTTTTACACGTGTCACGGTACTTCTCTCAGGACTACTACTAGGAAAGCTTCCACAAGTTGCAGCAACTAACCATCAAAATGTTTCTCTGGAGAGACGTATCTTTTTCTCTCATTCTCTCTCTGTATCAGTTATTTTTTTGAAAATGCCAATTTTCGCTCTATTTATATCCGCGGCAAAACTCGCCGGAGTTCTGGCGACGGTCACCGTGGCTGCCAATGCCTTCTCTTTCTCGCTTTACCGGAAGAAGAATCTCCAACCGTTCAAGTCACCTATCGACGAGTCGGATGAGATTCTCGCTTCTTTCAATTTAGACGGTAAGTTTTGCTAATTATCTTAAGCATATCTCAATTTTCTAACCCCTAGCTAATTAGCGATTTTACTGTTTTTTGTAGTTAATATTTATGTTTTTTTATTTATTTAAGTACCGATCTTGTGAAGTGAAGAAGAGCTTGTTGTTGTGATGTAAGCAAACTGATGTTAATTGCCTTTTTTTTTCAATTGATAATAAATATAATTGTTAGGTTCCGTTGTTAGAAGAAGCTTAGAAGCACTGTTTTAGTGGTGCTGTGTGACTTTAGCTTTAGCAGTGAGTCAAGATTGCACTGAAAATGCACAAAAAGAGCACTGAATTTTACCTTTTTTTTTCCTTCTTAATTACAAAAATTACTTATTTTAACATTATTTATATTTTAAGAAATGGAACAGTAAAAAGAGTAGGTTAATTTTATTCTATCGGGTTGAATGTGAATTCTCTAACATGTACATATGGGTTGAAATGATCCGAAGACTTCATGCATTATCCATTAGGTACTTTTTAGCGTTGAGAAACAGTGCCAATGATCGAGGGATGGATGTTTAATTGTTGCATATAGATTTAATGCTAGATCTAATATTCTACTTGCTGCTATGGGATTAGAATTAATGGGACTTGTTGAGTGTAAGAGCATATTATCAGTCTGGATATGATGAATGGATTTGCAATTTTAGTGACTGTTCTGTGTTTTTTGGCAGAAGGAGAAGATGAGTTTTTCTTTGGATTGGCAACTGCCCCGGCCCATGTTGAGGACAGGCTTAATGATGCTTGGCTTCAGTTCGCAGAAGAACAGCCTTGTGACAAATCGCAGCCAAACCAGGGCCTGGAAACAGCAGATGCACTGATGGGTTCAGCTACTGGTGATGGTGGATCTCAGCCAGCTTTTGTTTCGAATAAAGATGTGAATAAGGTGGCTAAGAAGAAGAAGGAACCTCTCAAAGTAGCTATGGAAGCCATGATCAGAGGGTTTAAAAAGTATGCAGAAGACGAAGGGCCTGCAACTAATGAAGAGTGCCATCACAATGTAGCTGCATGGCACAATGTTCCCCACCCGTAAGCCTTCTTCTATAGTACTCTGGACAGTGAGATATATATATATATATATATATATATATAGGAAATAACAAGATCTGTCTTTCCTCTTTCCATGGATGACACTTTTCTAACTACTAATCCCACCTGAATATTGCATCATTTGTTGTTCACTTGATTAATGGATTGCTTCAATTGATTTTAGGGAAGAGAGGCTGAGGTTTTGGTCTGATCCTGATACAGAGCTGAAGCTGGCGAAGGATACTGGTGTCAGTGTGTTTCGAATGGGAATTGATTGGACAAGAATCATGCCAAAGGAGCCTGTCAATGGGCTTAAAGAGACTGTAAGTTACATGCCAAGTGCTCATGCTAGTCATTGCTTTTGATGTGTTATAATGCTTCCTGCTGATGTTTGGAGAAGCAAGGAAATTAGCAGTGCTGTATTTGAACTTGCATTGTGAAAAAGTCTTTCTCATATGATAAGAAGAAAATATCCTATTCATTAAATTTTGAGGGAGATGAGTTTACATTTCAATTGCATGATCTTCTTTTTTAGGTTAATTTTGCAGCATTGGAGCGATATAAGTGGATCATCACCAGGGTTCACTCTTATGGAATGAAGGTGATGCTTACCCTGTTCCATCACTCATTACCACCATGGGCCGGTGAATATGGTGGTTGGAAGCTGGAGAAAACTGTTGATTATTTTTTGGATTTTACCAGGTTGGCATTCTGTTATGTGGGTGACTATCCTGTATGTTGTCTTCTGCAGTTCATATTATTTTCTTCTTTTTCGTTACTAACTGAAAAAACAAAGTTACTATTTCTCGCTCTGACATTGGTAAACCCTTGATTGCTCTGATTCTCATTTGTCTTTAAAAGAAAAGGGACAAAGAGCACACTAGCACAAATTATGTGCTTGTAGATTTAAAAGTTTCTGAATATTCTTTCAGTTTGGTTGTATGGTCATGGCTCAAATGATGAAGTATGCTCCTTGATTTTGTAAGCAACATTTGAATGTGCTCCATCAATGCAGGCTTATCGTTGACAGTGTATCAGAGCTTGTGGATTATTGGGTGATATTTAATGAGCCTCATGTCTTTTGCATGCTTACTTATTGTGCGGGTGCTTGGCCAGGCGGTCATCCTGATATGCTGGAAGTTGCTACTTCTGCTCTACCAACAGGTGTTTTCAACCAGGCCATGCATTGGATGGCCATTGCACACTCAAAGGCATATGACTATATCCATGGAAAGAGGTTTTTTATGTTCCGCTCTTCTGAATATTTATCTGAAGAATTTCCAATGTGAAAATATATTTAGTATTTGAAGAAACAAATGCACTCAGATATATCACTCAAATAGTTTCTATGTGGTTCATTAAGAAATTACTTAAGCAATGCCTTTATTCCAGTTACTTTGGGTTAGCTGGTTGCTTTGCAATCATGTCTTATCTCCCATCTGAAATTCTTCTTGGCTCGACTTGCCTTTTCTGACCTAACTGACAAATTGTCTAATTTATTGACAATGGTACTTGCTTTTCTAAATCATTTTTTTTTTAATTCTGCAGCACCTCATCAAAGTCAATAGTTGGAGTAGCTCACCATGTATCATTCATGAGGCCATATGGGCTGTTTGATATTGCTGCTGTTTCACTCGCCAACTCCCTCACCATTTTCCCATATGTGGATAGCATCTCCAATAAGCTGGATTTTATTGGCATAAACTACTATGGACAGGTTTGATAGTTCTCTAAAAGTTACTGCTTTGAACAATGATATGGAAGCCTACTTATATGACTACTCGTCAGGAAGTGACCTGTGGTGCTGGCCTGAAATTAGTAGAGACCGATGAGTATAGTGAATCTGGACGTGGAGTATATCCTGATGGCCTTTATCGCATGCTAATTCAGTTCCATGAGAGGTACAAACATCTAAATGTTCCTTTCATCATTACGGAGAATGGCGTTGCTGATGAGACAGATCTGATTCGTCGACCATATATATTGGAACATTTACTTGCTGTTTATGCAGCGATGATTACGGTCCAGACTCTAAACTTGACATTTTAGTTGTGTTGAAATTATGTTGCTTTTGATTGAACCATGTAATAAATAGCTTGCTTGATATTCATGTGCTTCATTCATAGGGCGTCCCTGTTCTTGGTTACCTGTTCTGGACTATTTCTGACAATTGGGAGTGGGCTGATGGATATGGTCCCAAGTTTGGACTGGTGGCAGTTGATCGTGAAAACAATTTTTCAAGGATTCCTCGTCCTTCATATCATCTATTTTCCAAGGTTAAAACTTTTCATGTTTGCCTTTGGTTCATTGGTGCTTTCCTCACATTCTTTCCTTATCATACTTCCATTACTGTTAATTCAGGTGGCAACCACTGGAATGATCACACGTGAAGATCGGGCACGTGCATGGAATGACCTCCAAAGAGCTGCGAAAGAGAAAAAAACACGGCCGTTTTATCGGGCAGTGAATGAATATGGTTTAATGTATGCAGGTAAAGAGAGGTCACATTCTCTTGTTACCTGAGTCTAATATTTATCCATCATTGCTTTTATAGCTGGAATTGATTCCCTACAATAACAAGATGTTAGACATGTCTATGCTTCTAGGCACATGCATTACTTGACCTGGATTCCATTTTTCTCTTTCCTCTGTGTTTAGTATTTTACTTATGCTTTCGCGTATGATATCTTCCGATTAATGCTTACACATCATCTTCTCTTAACAGGAGGCCTTGACCAACCTATACAGCGTCCTTATATTGAAAGAGATTGGCGATTTGGGCACTATGAGATGGAAGGTCTGCAGGACCCATTAAGCCGCCTGTCAAGATGCTTTCTTCGACCATTTGCAATTAAAAGTAAAAGAAAAGATCGGAAGGATGACGCTGAATTGGTTCTCCAGCCTCTCACATATAGCGCTTGATTGCTTATTCAATAGACACGTGTCATGTGTACATGCTTCCTCTTATAAATCTGCTGGTGTACAAGCTCCGGCGCATTTATGGCAATTTGTAAATCAGCTCAGCACAATTTCCATATTATAGTATTGGTTTAACTAAAGAGTTAATAATTTAAATATCTAGATGGGGGTTTCATCTCTATGCATGTTTTGTCTGAGATCCTGCCAATCGATTTGTCAATTTACCGAGCTTCCGGTTCTTTCAATAGCGTTTTTCCCCGTGAGAGATTTTGAATTTAATTTTGGAGTGATCGAATAATAGCACCACCACCACCACGACACGCCCCCCCCCCCCCCCCTCTCTGGCGAACTTTATTAAAGCCTCGAACAGATGGTTGACTTCTAGAGTAGACAAACATTTCCGAACTCTCTTGACCTATGACAAACCATTTCTTAGTTATTCATTCTTCTGGCAGTACCCGTAACTAATGTCAGCGGTGTAAAAGGTTACTGTTTTCTTTCTGATGAATAACACTAGCTTTTCCAAATGCTGTAGTGAATAACACGGTTCAAACTTCCTGAAGGCTACTTCTTGGGAAGATTTACTCGGGAAGGCTCCTGTACAAAACCACTTGCTGCATTCTTTATCTAGCAATTGTAAATGTAAGTATAAGTCTAGACTCTTAACAAATGTCGTAGGCAGATGTGATGTAACAAAATCCTTGAATAATGCAACCATAAAAGAATTGCTGGGCTGAAGGGATTGATTGTGATACAAATTAATTAGATACGGGCAGGGTGAGTCGACAAATGAGGCCACATGGATGACACATAGAGTGAGAAGATGGAATTAAGGAACACATGTATTAGCTGTTGAAAAAAGTTGATGTGGCTTTTTGTTAGTAGTTTGTAAAAAATGTTGTTAGTCTCCATCGACTATAACATTCAATGAGAGAGGAAGGAAGAGGGAAGATTATTCTGGACATTTTTAACATAGCTTCTTCTCTGGATTTTCTCTCTATTTCATCTTTGTTTCTTCTTGTAAATTCCTAAGGTTCTTAGCTTCGGAACTCTTAACAAGATTTGTTTTCTGTAATAGCTTTCCATTAATTCAATCGTATTTCAATTCATTCAAGTTATTGTTCTTGTGTTCAATTTCATAAAACTTGCATTCACTTGTGTTCTTCTTTGGATCCTTTGCATTTCATTCTAATTCTTGATGGTTGGAATTGTAATGCATCAACTGGTAGCAGAGCGAGTGATTTTGGCACTGCAGAGGAATCGACTAGAAATTAACAATCACAATGAGGAAAAGTGCAAATATAAAGAAAATGGAGGAAGCTATTGCTCATTTATCTAAGGTAATCATTGATCTCTCTAATAAATATAGTACTCGTGTTTGAAAGGCATGATAATGAAATTGTTGAGTTGAAGGAACTTATGAAAGGACTCGAGAGTCCAATGGTTAAAGAGGGGAATAATAACCATAATAACGGGTTTGATGATGAAGGAATTAGAAATATGGATAGAGAAAGTTTTAGAAGGCCGAGTATGTATCTTATGGAAAATGGTTATTGAAAAGATAATTTTACGTATCAAGACAACACTAGAATGTTTAGAGTGGAGTTTCCGAGTTTAAGGGGGAGGATTTTAAAGGTTGACTTTTTAGGTGTGAGAAATTCTTCTTTGTAGATAGAACTCCCGATGAATATAAGGAAAATTTAGTAGCTATACACTTTGAAGGGGAGGCTTTAGAGTGGCAACAAGTATTTGTTAGGATGCATAGGTCGATGTCATTCGAGTTGGACTAACTAAGCATTCGATTTAGGGCTCGGAATTTAGTGATACTATGGCACAACTAATGACATTAAGACATACCGAGGATGTACAATCTCTTTTAGAAGGTTCGTTTTAGAAGTAAACAAGCTAACATTGCATGAAAATTATATTATTAGTTGTTTTGTAGGCAATCTCAAGGCTGAATTGTAAGTACATGTAAGAATCATGAGATCGAAGACACTAAAAGAGGCGATTCTTGTAGAAATATAACAAGCGACTAGCCCAAACATCCCACACTACCATAGCAAATTCAATCCCAAACCAGCTTTATTATTTTCTCAAAGGCCTAATTCCATATTTTCCCTAAATACTTACAAAACTAATATTGTCAATGTTTTTAGAACCTTAAATTTTCCAAATCAACAAATACCTATGAATTTTCATCAAAATTTAAACCCTAATAAAAAAGGCCTACTTATCTGCTACCTCAATTTTAAAGTGGTAATTTAGTGTTCAAAACTAGGAGACTACCTAGCAATAAGGAACTAGATGAGAGGAGGTTGAAAAGATAATGTTACTATTATAATTAAAAATATTTTCCTAGGCACAAATGTAAAGGAAGACAAATGTTTATACTTGGAGGTGGAATAGAAGAATATGGTTAAGACATTTATGAGAAAGAAAATAATAGGGAGAGTCTTGAATTTACCGAGAATTTAGGTGGGGAATTATATCAAATTTCTAAATGTGCGGCATGGGGAACCAAACCAAATAATGAAAATTATGGGAGATTTTTTTTTTAAAAAAAGAAGATGAAAATTTTGATTGATACTAGAAGTACTAAAAATTTTATGGATTTAGAATTTGCAAATAAACATGGCTATAAGTTGGTTAAGATTAAAACTATAACTATTAAACTGGCGAATGGTGGTGAAATTACGTGCGAGTACATGTGTAAAATATTTGAATGGAAAATGCAGGGAGGAAGTTTGAGACTATAGTATATGTAATACAATTAGGATTATACGAAATGATTTTAGGAATAGCTTGGTTGTATGCTCTAAGAGATATTATTGGATATCGTTATAGTGGTACATAAGCTTTGATTATTGTCTGATCACAAACCTATAAAGTAAAAACTAAGAAAAATAAGGTTAGATATGCTAGTCAAAGTCAAGAAAGAAGTCATTAAGCAATTTAAGGCGGGATTTCTAATGGTGATCAAGTACTCGACTTAGGTGTTTAACATTGTCGTAGCGAGAAAGAAGAATGGAAAGATCATAATGTGTGTTGACTTTTAAAATCCGAACAAAGTCGATCCCAAAGATGATTTCCTACTATCATATATTGACATATTATTAGATAACATTGTATAAAACTCTATTTACTCCATGTATAGATTCTCTAGGTATAATCAAATCAAGATGGCAAAATAAGATATGAAGAAGACCACTTTCATCACACCGTAGAGGACCTATTACTATCAATCAAGATGACGAGAATAAGATATAGAGAAGATCACCTTCATCACACCGTAGAGGACCTATTACTACAAAGTCATGCCATTCGGGTTTAAGAATATTGGTACAACTTATCAACGAGCTATGGTTACTCTATTTCATGATATGATGCACAAAAAAATTGAAGCGTATGTGGATAATATGATCACACACAAAAAAAAAACTAGAGGATGATCACTTTCAGACTTTGAGAAAGTTATTTGAGCGACTAAGGAGGTACCAGTTGAAATTGAATCTCGTTATATGTATATTTGGGAATCAAATCAGAAAAGCTACTAGGGTTTATCGTGAGTAATAAAGGCATAGAAGTAGATCCTAATAAGGTTAAAACCATTTAAGTGATGGCAACACCCGATAGTGAAAAAGAAGTCGGAGGTTTCTTAGGTCGCTTAGAATTACATAGCTTGATCCATCTCTCAACTTATAATGACTTGCAAGCCCATTTTTTAACTATTGAGGAAAAAAAATCCGAAACTTAAGATGATACCTACCAATCAGCTTTTAATAAGATTAAATGGTACCTATAAAACCCTCTTTTATTGGTTCTACCTTTACTTGATCGAGTCATTGATTCTATATTTGACGAGCACTCGAATTAGCAATGAGTTACATTTTAGGTTAGCATGATAGTACTAAAAGAAAAGAGCTAGTAATCTATTATTTGAGTAAGAAATTTATGAATTGTGAATCTCGATACGAGTACACTTGAAAAAATATATTGTAGTTTAGTGTAAAGTGCAAGACATCTCAAGTAATATTGATTGTATTACACAACTAGATGATCTCAAAAATGGATCATCATAAGTACATCTTTGAGAAGTTCGTATTTGTCAAGTAGGATATGAGATGGCAAGTATTATTAGCTAAGTATGATATCATCTATATGAAGAAAAAGTCAATGAAAGATAGTACAATCATAGATATCCTAGCATATAATGTAGTCGATGATTATAAGCCATTGGATTTTGATTTTCCCGATGAGGACATCATGACATCCGAAATCAAATTAGTCAAGTAAGACGATGAGAAATAGACTATGTACTTTGATGGAGTCTGTAAATGTCTCAGCTAATGATGTGGGGGTAGTTCTTCTAATTTCTCTATATGGTAAGTAATATCCAATAGCCATCGATTTCGATTTAACTACACCAACAACATAGCAAAGTATAAGGCATCTACACATGGTTTAGAGGTTGCCGAAAAAGAGGAATAAAAAGGCTTGAGGTGTATGGTGACTCAATATTAATAATCTATCAAGTCAATGGTGAATGGCAAACCAAAGATGAAAAATTAAATCCTTACCAAAACCATCTAATCAAACTAGTTGAATAGCTTGAGAAAATTGAATTTGCCCATCTAAGAAGGGATAAAAACTAATTTGTTGATACATTAACAACCTTAACCTTAATGACCTAACTCTATTATAGAGTTAAAATATAACCCATTAGAATTGAAGCCAAAAATTCACCAACTCACTACTCGTACTATAAAAAATAGAAGTGGATGACAAACCATGGTACCATAACATCAAAATGGTCATCAAAAGCTAGGAGTATCCATTAAGTGCCTCGAAAGTAGATCGACTAAGAAAGATAGTCATGGACTTTTATCTAGGTAGTGAAATTTTGTACTAAAGAAGCTTTGATGAAATACTAATCAAATATTTGAATGAGACAGGGGCCAAAAAGGATTGAAAAAGTCCATGAGGGAGTCTATGCAACACATGCAAATAGATACACTATGACTTGTCAAATACAACGAAGTGGGTATTTTTGGATGATCATTGAGTGAGATTACATAAAATATGTTTGTAAATATCACAAATTCTAAGTTTATGGGGATAAGATCAACACTCCTTCGTACTACTATATAACATGGTATCTTTTTAGATATTCGCTATGTGGGATTTAGATGTCATCATGATGAATCCAAAAGCAAACAATGGCCATCGATTCATTTTGGTTACAATTGACTACTTCACTAAATGGGTTGAAGTCGCCTCTTATGCTCATGTCACTCAAAAAATTATCCAACAGTTCATAGAAAAAAATTTGGTTGTTGATATGATTTATCAAAAATAGAAATCACCGATAATGCTTAGAAATTTAATAAGAAGATGATCACAAAACTATACAAGTGATAGAAGATTAATTATCTAAACTCAACACCATACGAGCCCAAGATGAATGGTGTAGTTGAAGCGATAAATAAGAGCATCAAAAAGATTATGCGGAAAAAGGTTATCACGTACGAGTCCCGGTACAAAATACTCTCATATGCTCTACATATATATTGTATAACTATAAGAACATCCATAGGAGCTACCTCATATTCTTTGGTTTACGAGATGGAGGAGGTAATTCCATTGAAAGTAGAAATTTCTTCTTTCAAGATACTCATGAAAACATAATTAGAGGAAGTTGAATAGTTTAGAATCGGATGTGAGCGAGTTGAACATGATCAATGAAAAGAGGTTGGCTACTATCTACTATGCATAAATGTATCGGAAAAGGATGATCAAGGTTCATGACAAGAAAGTCTTACCGATAGAGTTCCGGAAGGAAGATTTGGTGCCCAAAAAGATTCTATCGATATCCGAAGAAGATAGAAGCAAGTGGTTGCCTAATTATGAGGGTCCTTATATAGTGAGAAAAGTATTCTCAAAAGGAGCAGATCCTTTTAGCCAATATGGATGGGGATAATATAACTAAGCCTACAAACTCAAATGTAGTAAAAAAAAATACTATGCTTAAGATGTGTTATCCCTTTCTCTATGAAATAAAAAGATGAAATTTAGGCCAAATATGTGCATTTGCATTCCTTTTCATATCTTTTTTCTACGATTCAATAAATACACATCATTCTCTCATCATCACATTATCTCAATTAATATTATTTATAAATTGATATATAACACATATAAGATGCCACAATAGTGTTTAACTCAATAAATAATAGGCTAAACTCATCTAAAAAGAGAGAGAGAAAACATTAGGTAAAAGATAAAAAAAATGGCGTAAAAACATAAAAAATGCTAGGTGAAAAACTAACAAAGTCTTATATTCAATAAAGACCGATGTTAACTCAAATTAATCACATCTTATTAATTAGGTTGTTTTCGACATACCGATTATGTCGAGACTTAAACTAGATCCGATATTAAATTGATGAGATGTCCTAGAGCGGTATGACGATCAATTCAATATGATGCCACAAACAAAAATAAAAAAAAATAATTTGACTTCAAAAATAAAACTTGGAATTTTGACCTAAAGAATAATTTGGAAAAAATAAATTTTTTTAGGGGATAAATTTTAGGACTAAACTTGACATGATATCTTTCTTAGGAAAGAGTGTTTTTAGGTGATTGATATTTTTCTAAAAACATAACCAATTCTTATCCTATAATCTCTACATGAGTGTTCATTTTAGGTTCCTAATTACCTTTAATACTATGTGATGAGTCCAAAATTAATAATAACTTATATCCCTAAATAAACAAAAAAAATTTAAATAAATCATAAATATAAATTTTTTAGAGTCTCGTGAAAATCGAGATAGCGACACCTAAAATGAAACAATTAGTCGATAAATCCAAGTCTCATAAGGTTTTCAATATTGGAGATTAGGTGTATCTAAAACTACATAGTCATCGTCAACAATTAGTGGCTCTTCGTAGAAACTAGAAGTTAGCTCCTTACTATTTTAGTCCTTTTAAGATAGTTGACAAAGTTGGAGAAACTACTTATACATTACAACTTCCTCCTCAATCACTCATTTATCCTATTTTCCATGTGTTTCGACTTAAACCTATTCATGAATTTGTGTAGGTGTAAAATCGCTTACCTCTTTCTACTAACTCGCAGCTTTTTCGGTGGCCATTTTAGATCATAAATAGTGAAGCGAGGTAATCGTGTTTCAAACTATTCATTCAATGGTCTAATGGCTCTCCTTTGGATGCTATATGGAAATTTTCCTTTGATTCGACCACTCGTTTTCTAGCCTTTGACCTTGGGAACAAGGTCTCTTCGAAAAGGATATTGATATAAATTAATTAGATATGGGCGAGTGAGTCAACAAATGAGGCTATGTGGATGACACATAGAATGAGGGAAAGAAATTATGGAACATGTATATTAGTTATTACAAGAAGTTTATGTAGCTTTTTTTTTATCCTCTAGTGGTATCTCAAGCTTAAAGGTCCGGACTAATTCGTCATTTTATAAGGTAGGGACGAGATACCTAAAAGGTTTTTTATATATACAGGGAATCGAATCCGAGACCACTTGCTTAAGCCGACTAGAGTCCCTTCCACTCAAGCTACCCTTCAGGGCGATGTGACTTTTTTTAGTAGTTTTTAGAAATGTTGTTAGTCTCTAATAACTATAACATTTAATGAGAGATGAGGGAAGAGGGAAGATTATTCTGGACATTTTGAACATTCTTCTTTTTCGGATTTTCTCTCTAATTCCTCTTTGTTTCTTATTGTAAATTCTTAGGGTTCTTAGTTTGGAAAATCTTGACAAAATTTTTTTTCTATAATAGTTTTTCATTAATTCATTCGTATTTCAATTTATTTAACTTACTCGTTTTGGTTTTCAATTTCATAAAATTTGTATTCCTTGATTTTCTTGGTTGGATCCTTTCATTGGTTAGAATTGAACTACATGAGATCGTAATAAGTGTGTTACGTGTGGAAGTTAGTTTGGTTTAGCTAGCATTAGTTAGTTGTTATTGTTAGTCAAACTTCTAGTGATAAGAGGAAGAGATGAGAGTATTTGTTAGGTAGTTGATAGTGATCAAGAAATCTTTCTCTCGTTTTCTTCTCTATAATTTCTTGTTTTCTTTTCTTCCTAACATGTAAATTGATTTGATACGATTCTAACATTTTTTTTCTTGATCTTGAACTTATAGCTACTCAATCATTGTTACTCGTTTTCTTATTGAATAAGGAAATATTGTTTTGTTCTTGTTTCTTATAATTCTTGAATTGATTGAGGATTTTTAGAGTTGCATCATTGAATACTATTCCTTCCTTTCCATTAAAAAAATAAAAATAAAAAATTGGTTTGAATTTGAGAGAAAGAAAAAAAATTGAGGGGTGAAATTAATTATTTATTTCTATACATAAAGGTAGTGGAGAATTTTGGGATTTTTTTTTCAATTTTTTCAGATTTTTTTGGGATTTTTTTTATTTTTTCATATGTTTTTATTTTTTGAAAAACTTAATACCACATGTCAACATCTTGTTAGTCTTAAGCCGAAAATTATTGTCATTGTCTGAAAAATTAGATGGAAGGATGAAATTCAGACAAGAGCTAAGAGTAGAGGGACCTAATTATTGATAAATTTAATAAAAAGACATGAATAAAATAAATAAAATAATAGAGGGACATCATAAACTCTTAACCCATTGAATAAGTGTACTGTAGCGTGAATAAGTACAAAATGTTGCAAATTTCCATTATTTAAGTGTAATTCTGTAATCTTATCCCGACTTCCTCCAATCGTTGGGAACATCAATTGTGCTGGAAGCACATATTTTATGCATCACACTCCTTTTCCACTATGCTTGCTTGTGTAAGATAAGACTTCCCTTTGCGGATAATTATCGATGCATAATAGGGCTGTTAGCGTCTTCATAACATGTATTTGGAATCCAAATCATGTTTTCACCCACCACTATATTAGTGTATATCATTCAACTGTGTTTGGAATTTACTCGACAAAACTCTGAATCAATCCCAGGAAAGACATGTGTAGCTAGTGGATAGAGGACCATCACAGATTCACGGTTGTTGGAAAAGGTAAAAGATTCCAAACAATTGATCTCAGCCATTCGAATCTCCGAAACATATGTGGGACTCTCTCTACGCACAGACAAAAGAGTGATCAAAATACTCGCTTTGTTAGTGCAGTTTATATATATATATATATTATATATGATGTGCAAATAATTTTCGGAGGGTAACAAAAAGTGATCTCCATGGCTTTAGTTAGTAGACCTTTCCTGTCTTTCTTGGGCATATATTTGTTTCTCGGTTCTTTAGGTATCACTTGCATTAAATCCTTAGAAACATACCCGGAAACTCAGGAATCCGACAGAGTAATTAATTTGCCTGGCCAACCTTCTAGCCCATCAATCTCACAGTTCTCAGGTTATGTCACCGTCGATGAAGAACATGGGAGAGCCCTTTTTTACTGGTTCTTTGAAGCTCATTCTGAAGCATCGAAGAAGCCTCTCCTTCTGTGGCTAAATGGAGGTGCTGTCACATTTTTTTAAAAAAATTTCAATTTAACTTGTTTCTATACGAGTAATGGAGATACAATTCCTTTGATATACTCGTTTATATAGTTCAAATTGCTTTTGTTTTTGAAGGGCCTGGTTGTTCATCTATTGGATATGGTGCTGCTTCAGAGTTAGGTCCTCTAAGAGTTTCTAAAGATGGGGCTGGTGTTTACTTCAACGAATACGCTTGGAGTAAAGGTCCTTTCTGCATATACTTCTATTACTTCTCTTCATAGTCTTTAATTGCCTATGTACAAAATCTGAATGCAGTACTGGATTTGTGAGGTTCACTGGTAGAAGAGATGATCAAGACTTGTTGAAATTCAAATTCTCTCCTTGCAGAAGCAAATTTACTATTTCTTGAATCCCCAGTTGGAGTTGGGTTCTCTTACACCAACACCTCATCTGATCTCACCATATTAGATGATAACTTTGTAGGTGAGGCGCCTCTTTTAGCAGTGAAAAATTCTTCTAATTGCTTAATGTTACTTGTAATTGATGGTAATTTGTCTTTCACCAGCTGAGGATGCCTATACTTTCTTGGTGAAATGGCTGCAAAGGTTTCCCCAGTACAAAAGTCGTGATTTCTTCATTTCAGGAGAGAGTTATGCAGGTGAGATTGCCCAGTCAACTAACCCCCTCTCCACCCTCTCTCTAACGTTCATTCTTGGTATTTGCAGGCCACTACGTACCTCAGCTAGCAGAGCTTGTCTATGATAGAAATAAAGATACCACTAAATATCCATTGATCAATCTAAAAGGTTTTATCGTAAGTGCTTAGGTCCAATATTAAACACTTCGATCCATAGCAGCATCAAGTTAATATATAAGATTTTTCATATACAAATTTACCAAAATTAGTTATTGAATTCAAGAATTTCTTGAACTATGTCCACGCATAACTGTGCAGGTGGGAAATCCAGAAACCAATGATTACTATGATTACAAAGGTTTGCTAGAATATGCGTGGAGCCACGCTGTAATATCAGACCAGCTCTATGAAAAAGCCAAACAAGTATGTGATTTCAGAGTTTCCAACTGGTCTAATGACTGCAACGATGCCATGAACACAGTGTTCGGGAAATACAATGAAATCGACATCTACAATATCTATGCCCCAACATGTCTTCTTAACAATGCATCTTCATCTGTCGGTAGCAATGATTCATTCACTAAGGTAATAGTGCCGCCTCCATTGAACTTGAAAGCAAAATGCCCCATTCCGTACGTTAAAAGAAAGTAAAATAAGAATGTAAGTGATTTCTACAGGTAAACAATTACAAAATAAGAAGGCTTAGAATCCCTGGAGGTTATGATCCGTGTTATTCAACATATACCGAAGAGTATTTTAACAGGGCTGATGTTCAATCATCCCTTCATGCAAAAATTAGTGGAAATTCTAGTGGGAAATGGAGGGTCTGCAAGTAAGTATACACATCACATACCAAATATATGTTCCTTAATTAACATTTTGCTTTGTGTTGTAATCTTAAATTATGATATATTTGTAATGGAGCACATATTTCGTTTCCAGTGATTTCATCCTGAACAGATATAATTATACCGTATTCTCTGTTCTCCCGATCTACACCAAGCTCATCAAGGGTGGTCTCGAGATATGGATATACAGGTGAGGTACCTGAATATCAGGGTTTCATTTTTTTTTTTTTTTAATAGTTCTTTCTGGCGCTTCATGCATGTTTCTATGATCTTACCTCCACCATAAGTTTCAAGCCAGTCTGTAGTGGTCCTGAGGAATGGATATGCCTGTTAGTGACCGTCTATGATTCCAAAAACTAACCAATAATACTCTGGGACCATGATAAAGCAAAACTAGGAGACGAAAGCATGGTTTGCCTTTCATACTCACATGATGCAACTAACAGCAAGTCAAAGGCCCCGTGAAGCACAAAGTCATGGACTGTTGCGCAAGACTATTGTGACTGTGCTTGCGCAATAGTCAATGACTTTGTACTTCACCGATAACATTAAAGAATTATTATTCAATGAGGTTGCGGTTCACCAAAAACATTGAATAATTTGCCTTAAAAGTGTTTCTTTTTCTTTTTTGTTGATTGGTAAGACTGAGTTAAAGTAATAATAATTTATAATCTCGATTTGGAACAGTGGGGACACAGACGGCAGAGTACCTGTCATAGGGTCACGATATTGTATTGAAGCTCTTGGACTGCCTCTCGCATCTCCCTGGCATTCTTGGTTTCTAAACCATCAGGTTCTTTTTGTTTTTACATTTCTCGTCATTTTCTTGTTTCTGCCCTTAAATCAAGTAGAATTATACCCTATTTTATTGAAAGATTCTTTCAGAAAATTTGCAAACTTTCTAATGTACAAACTGGGCTGCACTGAACTATGCGGTTTGGACTTTGGACATTCAACCGGATGTGTAGATGGGCTCCTCAAGCCTATCTAATAGACTGGGTTAGGTACATAATGTGGCCCAATTTGACAAGTGAAAACTAATCTGGAACTTTTGTAAGGATAAAGCTAAATCTACCATATTTGATAGAGTTGGAAAATGTTTTCAAAATGACTGTCAGTGCACACGAGGCTTGATTTTGAAAGTTGTGGAACAAGTTTGAAGCCACAACATTGATGACATGTACATGTGTATATATATGCAATGCAGGTTGGAGGAAGGATAGTAGAGTATGAGGGATTGACATTTGTGACAGTGAGAGGGGCAGGTCACTTGGTTCCTCTCAACAAGCCCAGCGAGGCTCTCTCGCTTATTCACTCTTTCCTGTCTGGTGAACCTCTTCCTGCACATAGATAATGCTACGTTATATTCAATGGCTCAAAGTGCAAGGCCATCACAATTTCTTTGCCCATCCACGTAATTTCTGTTCAAATACTATTTTTCCATCACTATGGATGTCTATTGGATTTATATACAAAATAAATAAACAAATAAATAAATCTTGTCCCTCTTGAACTTTCTTGTAGTTTTTGGGGTTTTCTCCTCTTCGAAAAGCAGTTGAAAAGTTATTTGGGATCAAACGTCAGAAGCTACAAAATGATATTTTTGAATTTTGAATCTTAATTATAACACAAAGGCCTTTTTTATGATAGATTGAAATCATTGTGATTGTAGTGTTATCAAACTATGGATATTAAATATATTTACTTATTCTATTGTGGAGATTTATTTCTTCACTTTGTATGTTATCTAATTATTCAATGATTGTATTATTCACGAAAGATAAGAGAGTTATTGTGATTTAACAAGACATTGAAAAAAGAACAGACTGTTATTCAATTTGTAGCATTGCCAAATATTAAGTATATTGACCTATTTGATGCATAAATTTACCTTATTAGCTCATAATTTAACTAGTATTGTCATTGATATAAGGGTAAATGATATAAACTTCTTTTGAATTTCAAGATATTTGAAAATTAGTTTTTTATCTTTTAATTTCAGATTAACATCTTTCTAAATATTTTTTATTTTAAATTAAATCTTTTTATTAAATTTTCATCCATTTTAACAGTGAAAGTACATTAATAAGTTTTGACATGTTTTTAACTATTGAGAAATTACACTTATACATTAAGATTGATAAAAACATAATAAAAAATAATTAAAAAAATATTTAATTATAAATTAAAAATTGAAGAATCCATTCGTAAATGATTTAAAATTTAGAAGAAATTTGAATGGTTTATCTTTGATATATTTATAGATTATCAAATATAATTTTGATAGAAAGGTACCTTAGAGAAGAACAAAGCTATAATTTACTTTGTAAATGTCATTTAAAAACGATTACTACGAATTAATAAGTATTTATAGGACTTGCTTCCATTGTATGTGGTCGAGAGATTTTGCTCTACGTGTAAAAGTCGGCATCCTATATCAGATAGGTCTACGCAGTAATATTGTACATGAAATCATATCTTTTTTTCGTAACATGATAACGACTCCATTTATTTATTTATTTATTTTGCTTGGGATTCGGATTCCAGAAAGGTCATTATAGAGACTTATTGTTCGAAAACAATCCGTATTGTCAGGTATGAAGTTTTGCCAATTCATTCTTATTATAATATTATTATAAATATTCATTGTTTATGTCAATGTAATGAAATGTTTCTTTCAAATACATTTTAAGAGAGAAAATTATAGGTTTAATCTTCTTGTTAAAATTGGTTTATCTAGAGGCACTTTTCTCTATATTTGGCGTCATCCTATTCCAAACCTTGCCGCCGTTATTTTCAATTATGTTGCTGGAATTACCAAATCATAGTCGCGGCTACGATAGTTATTTAACTTATTGAGTTAGGGTAATTTAAGGTTTTTAATATAAATTTGAATTATTTAGATATCAAATTATTATTTTTAGATAAATATTATCTTTCACCCGTTATTTTTTATGGTCAAAGCATTGACAATTAACTCGAATATTAATAATAAAATTACCTTAAACTATTGGAGTTATGACAATTTAGAACTTCTACTATTAATTTGGATCATTTGAACTTCAAATTATTATTATTATTATTATTATTATTTTGTGACAAATATTATCTTTCTTTCATTATCTTTGACAATCAAAACATTGATCAATAACTTGAATACTTAAACAATTGACTTTTTTTTTAACAAAAAAAATATAATAATAGTTAATGCAAATGACGTGTCATTGTAATATATAACGATATGTCTTCTTCAAAGACTATTAAATTAACTGAATTAATTGAACCGAACAGAGAGAGAAACTGCATTATTATATTGTTGTTGAGATTATTTTTATAATCTATACTTTTCTATAATAATATTTCATGCTCGATTCATGCCTTCTTTTCTCTTTGTTCTTGGCTGAATCGAGACTGAAATGTTATTATAAAAAAGTATAGGTTTTAGAAGTAATCCTAACATCACTTTAATAATGCATCACTCTTTATGTTCTGTATAATTAATTCAAGTTGTTTAATAATATCTTAGGACAACATATCTTCACATATTAAGACAATAAATCGTCAGTTTTAATCATTATTATATTTTTTAACATTAATTTTCTTTTAAAAAAATATTTAAACGACGTCGTTTAAGTATTCAAGTTAACGGTCGATGCTTTCACCATAAAAAATAATAGATGAATGATAACATTTACTTAGAAAATAATTGTTTAAGGTCCAAATAATCTAAATTGATAGTAAATGATTTAAATTGCCATAGCTCTAATAGTTTAGGGATAATTTTTGCCATAAAATAAAAATAAAAGATTGAAATGATTATACAATGTCCTTTAAGCATTCAAATTACTAGTCAACACTTTTATCTATAAAACAAAAAAGGATAACATTTGCCTAGAAACTAATAGTTTGTTGTTCAAATAATCAAAATTGATAGAAAAAATCTTGAATTGCCATAATTAACTCCAATAGTTTAGGGATATTTTTTGCCATAAAATAAAAATAAAAGGTTGAAATGATTAAACGATGTCATCTAAGCATTCAAATTAATAGTAGACACTTATACCTATAAAAAAAAATAATTCAACTGTTGTCCAAATAGTTTATTGTCCAAATAATCCAAGTTGATAGTACAAATCTTAAATGGTCATAACTCATTAATTCAATGATAATATCTACCATTGAACCCAAAAAAACCACACCTAAATGGCAATTGTTGTTTTTTCTTTCCTGTCAAGAGCTTTACACGTAAATTATTATATGAGGCTGATGCCTGATTTACCAAATCAATGTAATTATAACAAATAATTAAATTTGTTCAAATTTATTTAATAAATCACATTTAGAACGTTAACTTTTTTTTTTTTTCATTTGATAGCATATTCGTAATTATGAAATTAAATGGCTAATATTTATCACAAAATAATATAAAGAAATTTAATTATTCGTAAAAAAATTGTATTGATTTCATACCATATCTTAAGTGGTGTGCCATATTCATTTGATTTTTTATTTACATCGCTAGTCGGCTTTAAACACTACGCTGTGGGCCAAACAAAATATATTTATTTCAATTTGATAGTTTGTATATCAACTAAAATATATAAAATGAAAAGTAGAAGAAAAATTTTCATCTAATTTCATAATTTTTAGTCAAAATTTTATATTTAATTTATTCTTGTTTATGTTTTTCATAAATTTTATAGCTAAAAAAACATAATTTGTTATTTCTTATGTATTTATTCTTAAATAAAAAATGTGTAATAATATAAATAGAAAATTGATATAAATTTTTTAAAAACATCTTAATAATTTTTTCATAGTATTAATTTTTTTATATTATGACCATACTTAGTGGGTCGGAGCGTACAATATAAATTAAAAAATATTTTTTAAAAAAAAACTTAAGTTGCAAGGAATATATTGAAGTTACTAGACTAAAGTAAAAATAATTATAAAATTAATTCTTATAAATTTTTATTATATAAAAAATAAATAAATAAAACATGTAAATTTTATTTTTTAATTGATTATTTATTTTTCAAATAAAATTTATTCAAAAATCCATACAAAGAGAAAAATAAAACATATTTATAAATAAATAAAATTATATAAAAAAAGAAGAATAAAAAAATAATTTTATGAGAATTTTCATAAGAAATGACAAATTAAAAATATCAAATTTAAATAATAAAAATAATATAATCTAATATAAATACTCATTCTAAAATCTAAAAATATATCGTATGTATTTCATAATTGTCACTCTGTATGAAAAATAAAAAAAATAACAATTGGTTTTTTATAATTTTTCCTAGAATTCAATAATAAAAAAAATGACTGGAAAAAACAAAAGTTAAAAAAAAAAAAAAAACACAAGTATGCATGCATGGACTATCTAGAGACAAAAAAATATCTTTTGAAAGGAATCAAAATAAAATATAATATCAAAATTACATATAAATGCCTAAAAAAAACTTAAAAATTATAAAAATACTAAAAATGAGTAGTATCGTGTAAAGCAGTCTATCCCAAATCTTTTAGTTTTTATATATATATATAACTATAATAATTGTTTTACCATAAAGAGATTTATTAATCCATTATCAACTATCTTCCTGATTATTTATTTATTTATTTATTTATTTATTTTTTTTGAGGTGGGCGGTCTGATAAAACATAATGCTATGATGCACAATAAAACACTATGATTAGAAGCAGTCGGCTGGAGCACAAATTTGGTAACTATCATTGTTCCTGACCTTTTTTTGGCAGGAAATCGATTGCCAAATTGTTAAAAACTCTCTAGTGAAAAAATAAATATTCTTTAAAATTAAAAACTCTTTTGTTTTAATCTTAAACAATATAACTTTTGAATGTGTTTCTTTTGTTAAAAATCCGTTGAGAAATGAATAGAAAAAAACCATAAAAATCCTTTGGGTTTCTCTTTGTTTGGCTTTTAATTTTTTTAAAAAAACATATTCACTAATTGCAAAAAAAAAAAATAATAATAATAATAAAATAAAGAGAATTTTATTAGGTTTTTTTGTTAATTTTTCAACAAAATTTTAAAAGAAGTATTAAAAAAATCATATTGTTTCGCGTAAAAATACGTTGACTTTTTTAATTCAAAAAATATTTGTTTTTTCCCCTCAGATTTGAAGATTTGTTTTTACAATTTAGCTAAAATAAATAGTAATAATAATGCGGAGAGGATGTGTCCGTTGTTGAAAATTGCCGATCTCCGTAAGATTGAAAGAATTTGAAGACTTGAAATTACTGCCAGCCTGCCGTTTTTCATCAAAAGGACAAAGGTGGTGTTTGGTCTTGAGCTCCTATTTATTGAATCAACATCAACGGAAAAGAAAATGTACCGGAAAAGAAAATGTACCAGAAAAGGACCGGCTTGGACTCCTTTCTTTCTTTCTTTCTTTTTCTTTTTCTAGAACCACCGGCTCTGACACCCCACGGTCCACAGTCCAGACTGACACTTTTCTACCAACTTTGTTTGATAAAGACTTTAGAGAAGTGATAATAGTATTTATTTCTTTTAATAATAGTAAGCTTATGGTAATCAAGAGGAAGTTTTAATGCATGTGGCAATTGGCTTGTTCTAATATATGATTCGTATGTTTTTTTAACTAAAAAATGGATTTAATTTTACTATCTTGCTTCAATAACCCATTTTGAGTTTGTTTTATTTGGAGTAAATTTAATAGAGTAAGTTATAAACGCCCTAAAATATCATGAAATCACCATAATTATCTAAAAGTTTTAAAACATTCTAAAATTCCCTCTCAAATTTAAATGACTATTCAAAAAATTTTATTTTGTATTTAAAACACCCTTAATATTTTTCAATCATTTCCCTTAAAATCAAGAGCTTTTTGAGGATAAAAGACAGATTTTGTAATACTTATAATTTTTTAAATAACCATTGTAATTTTATGATTTCAAAGAGATTATAATCAATCCAACTTTTTATTGACGTTGAAAAATAAAAGACAAATAAACAATAAAAGGAGTGTAACAATGGCTGGATTATTGTTTTCCCTTCTCTCTATATTTCCTTATTTTCTTGTTTTTTGTGTTTTTCTTGTAAGAATGGCAGATTTCTTTACATTCATTGTCAATCATTGATCTATTTTACTGTTTGATTGTTTTCAAAGAACTTGTTTTGATTAAATAGAGCTAAGAACAGTTTCATTCTTGCATCATCGTCTTTTTATTAATTGCTGGAATTTGGATTCAATCAGAGCTCTATAGATGATAAATTGATAATAAAACAAAAGGATAGTTTTGTTTTCACAATTTTAATTATAGATTATTAAGCTAGCGTAATTGTGAATATGTTTTTAAGTGTAGAGATAAAATCCTTTTAAAACCGAATTTTAAATAAGATATTAATATATTAAAATTTTCTTTTTCGCTTCTGTTTATATCATATGAATGGTATTCAAAAAAATAAATTATGGAAAATAATGTTTTTCATCATTTTGAAACCTCATCTTTATTTGTAAGTTTCAGAAGTAAATAAACAAAAATCCAAGTTCCTAAAACCGAAAGGTACTTAAAACGTTGTTTGCCATCCCACAAAGATGGTGCTCGAGGAAGAGAGTAAACATCCTTCTAAACAGGACATCTTTGTCAAGCTCGGATCGCCCATACAGCTCCCATGAGGCCATGATCACTCTCCATCTTTCTACTTAATTTCTCTCTTACAGGGTGTTTCTTTTTCCCTTTAAACTCCAAAATCCACTTTCTAAATCTTAAAAATCCAAACTTCAGCTAATTAAAAACCAAAATGCCGCATCTTTCCCATGGCCTTTTTAACAAAGGATACCAAGTTGAGGTCCTTAAACGAGAAAAAGGTCCCAATACTTTAACTTACTGTCCAGCTACAGTGCTTCAATCAAATAAAAATCAAGTCTTTATTGAGTACCAAACCTTGATTATTGAATCAAATTCAAATGGTCCAAAACGAATAAGTGAATTTGTTGATTTGGGGTTTGTAAGGCCAAATCCACCAAGAGGAAATAACGAGCGCTTTAAGGTGAATGATAATGTTGATGTTTATTGTGACAATGGGTGGCATAAAGGCACCGTTAAGGATATTTTAGAGAATTCAATGTATGTTGTTGGTTTTGATGGTCAATATAGTGAAGGGATCATTACTGAACAGTGTGATTTAAGGCTTCATCGAGAATGGAATGACGGGTCCCTTCTCTGCTTGATAAGGTATTTTTAATAATGAGTTCTCTTTCTTGTTGTTTATTTTGATTTTTTTGTGTTAGTGTTTCGGTGAGTTTTGGTTCAAATTGATTTTGTTTTTTGGTGTTTTTATTGTTTTTTATATGTTGTGTTAAAGTTGATTGCTTTTTTCATGCATTGTTTGATATAATCATGAGAAATGATTGGATGAGATGCTAGTTAACTATGCAACTTATCAATATTAGGATTGTTTTAAGGTATTTGTTAGTGTTTTTTGAATATGGGTTGTGTTAATGATTTGAAGTGTTGTTAGTGTATGTTTGTGATTTTTTTTGGTGTTTAATAAGCACGCTCAATTTGTGAGAGCTTGAATTGCAGAGAAATATATCTGAGATGGAGGTTAAATCGAGAAAGATAAGGTTGAAGATAAAATACAGCAAGGAAAAAAAAAAAACAGATATTGTTGGGAAGGCTGGAGATAAAATGCAGCCAATACTTAGGAATGGGACTTTGGTGGAGGTCAAAAGTGATGAAGAAGGGTACGATGGTGCTTGGTTTGGTGCAATTATTGTTGGCTCTGTAGGAAGAAATGCATTCTTGGTGCAATACCTGTACCTTGTCACCGAAGATGAAACTGCACCCTTGAGAGAAATAGCGAATGAACAGAATATCAGACCTAACCCACCTGAAGTTCAGGAAGTCATCAATTTTAAACTGCATGAAATGGTTGATGCATGGCACAATGAGGGGTGGTGGCATGGTGTGGTCTCGTCAGTGCTGAATGGGTTTAAGTATATGTTCTATTTCAGCTCTACAGCTGATGTTATGGAATTTGAACATGCTAGGTTGAGGCCTCATCAAGATTGGATTAATGGAAAGTGGATCAAGGTATAACTTTTAAATGCTTCTATTTGCGAAACTTTGTATGTGCTGTTGAATTTTAATGGAAAATGGTATGTTGTTTAATAATAGATTATCTAGTAAATTAGAATATATGTGATCAATATTTATTTTTATGTGTTGCTACTGCATTGGATTGGAAAGAAATAATATGTGAAATTTTTTTTTGATAGTTTGCTATCTATGAGAACTTAGAAGGAGGAAAAAATCTTAAGCAATTTAGAACCGATAGGTGAATTGTACAGAAGTAGCTTATAAGTGCTAATCTTGTTTGGTGTGGCTTGTTAGCAATTAAGTTTCTGAATTGTTCCAAGCACTTAAAAATATTTTTTATTCAAGAAGGAATACGCTCTCTAAAAAATGAAGACATGTACTAGGATCCAAATTAATGTGGTTATGTTGAGGTGAATAGAAAATTAGAGCAATTCCCTAAGTTGTCAACAGAAAACATGTAATACGTTTAAGTTGCTCTTCGTAAAACATGGTAGTTACAGATAATGGCCTTTACTTGTTTGCAACATAAGGTTCTCGAATCAAGTCTTTCGTGCACCCACGTACAAATTTGAAGGCCCGTAGTGTCTCCAAATTTTTCTCCCAAGTTGTATGTGCACAATAGCTAATCAAATACCTAAACGCTTATATTGCATAAGCATTCATACTACACTGTTTTCAGCTTGCATGTATGATGTTATGCTCTGTTTAGCGTACATGTTTAAAAATAATATCGGTAATTGCTGTTATTGTTGTACTTCATGGAAAATGGAAGGATCATGCTTTTCAACCTTTTTTGTGTTGAAGGGTAAGGAACGGAATCCAAAACCTAAATTCGGCAAGGGAACAAAGGTAGAGGTCAAAAGTGAGGAAGTTGGTTTCCAGGGTTCTTGGTACACAGCAACCACTGTGGAAGTGATGGAGAATGACAAATTTCTTGTTCAATATGACACCCTTGTAACAGATGATGAAACTGATTCCCTTAGAGAAGAGGCAGGTGCTTCTGACATAACGCCTTCGTACTCAACATGCCTATGCTTTTGAACTGTCTGAAATAGTTGATGCTTGGTATAATGATGGATGGTGGGTGGGCCGTATTATCAAAGTTCAGAAAGAAATGAAGCACATAGTGCTCTTCCAGAATACAGAGGAATTGGAGTTTGAACATTGTGAGCTGAGGCCGCATCAAGAATGGATTGATGGAAATTGGTTCACCGTTCCAAAGGTATGCAGCCTGTGCCTATACCATGCAAGGCCCATATGATGATATGGCTTATAGCTTACGTAACCTTGCTTCCCACTTTACAAACATAAAAAATCATGTCTTCCCCTTCGAATTCTCGCTTATATATGGCTCCAAATATATCTAATAATAGCTGGTAGACATCTTTTGAGCACTCTGGTATTCAACTAACCTTTGATTTACGCTTGCAAAGTAGGTTTCTTATGACTTTCATCAGACTCTTTAATGAAGTGGGAATTGATCATAAAATCTCAGAGAATAACTGGTTAGACATTTTTTTAGCATTCCTAATTATGGGTCAGCTAAATTTTGATTTATGCTTGCAAAATGGGTTTCTTATGACCTTTATCGGATTTAAAATCAAGTAGGAATTGATTATATATCTAAGGAAAGTAGGATGTTTCATCCCGTGGAGTTTAAAATGCACGTAAAGGATGTTTGAAATACCTTGGATAGTTTGGATGAACTCCCTGCAATATGCCATCAATATGTTATTTTTTTCTTTACTCAATATTTGCTGTATTTTTCCTCTGCTCCGTGCGTGTAAAAGATTCCCTTGTTGCACTAACCTAACTATTTTCACGACTGATGTTATGTGCGGCCTCCGCTTGTGTGATCTATCTGTTTTATTTCTGTTGCACTTGCCAAATGCCTTCTTTTTCTCTTCTGATTGCACAATTGGAGGTTCTGATCCATGGATTCTGTGGCTGGATTCGGTCCAAAATCGAAATGTTTTTTTTACCAGAACATGCTTTCAGCTGCAATTCAATCACTGTTTGCATCTTGATTGACGCTTTAATGTATCATAGGATAACTGTCTGCACTTTGGATGTTTTGGTCACTGTCCCTAAAGTCTAGTGGTCAGGTAACAATGGTAAGTGCTAAGTACTGTTTTGTACTTAAGGATGCTGCACTGATGTTGATTATGTAAAATGTTAATGATAGCTCTCTGCTTGGACATATTATTTAGTTTTACTTTAGGCAGCCATCACACATGTGGCCAAGTTTTGCGAAGTTATTTTGAAACAGTTTATGAGCGTCAAGTTTAATTTGCATCCTGAAAATAAAATCTCTTAATAACCGGTGTCAGCAACCAGTAAGCAAGGTTCCCAATATTGTTTATAATCCTTTTACTTGAAGTCGAGTCTACCTCTAGTAGAAACAAAATATAATTTTGGTGGGTTAATTTTTGATCATATATTTGGCTACTATACAAAACAAATCATCTTTTTCATTCTTCACAATTTCTTCTTATATTCAGTTCAAAGCTAGGTTTTAGGACATATGAAGGGAATGCAGCCAAAGTGTTTTTAAGGGAGTAGGATAATTATATTATAAGTATATCAGTTTTGAACTTTTTTTTTCAATGGAGTATATAAATTTTTATTTTTTTTATTTGAGTATATTAACTCTTTTTAAAATATTAATTGAGTTTTTCCGTCGATTTTTCCGCCAAGTGATAACTTGGTAGTTAATATAGAAAAGTAAATGACTATGTTGTTTTTTTTTTTTTTTCTCTTCTCAAATTGTTATTATTGTTTAGCTATTTATTAAAAAACAAAACAAAACAAAACCAGAGCAAGTAGCACTCATGCATGCCAAATATATATGAAAAAAAGTTAAAACACGACCTTTTTAAAATGTTACTCTTCAATTGAAATTCAATTAAAGTAAAATTAAAACTCAGCATAAATGTGAGTTTCTAAGATTTTTCATCAAGAAGCAAGACAATAATTTTGTGGTTGTCAAAGGAAGGCTTTGTTGAGCACTTCTTGAATTGTTCTAAATCCAGTAGAAGATTTATTTCTTGTGAGCTTTTTTTGATAAGCTTTCATTCCTTCAATTTTCAGCCTTTTGTTTATTTAGTGTTCATCATTAACAAGTTCTTTTGTGCTCATTTGAAGAAAAATGGTAGTTGTTAGAAACTCACATTTGTGTTGAGTTTTAATTTTACCCTAATTGAGCTTCAATTGAAGAGCAGCATTTTAAAAAGGCTGGCTCTTTTTATATATATTTGGCACTCATGAGCTGTTTTGGCTTTGTTTTGTTTTTTTTTTCTTTTTAATAAATAGATGAACAATAATAATAATTTGGATAGAGAAAATAAAAAATGACAATATAGTCATTTACTCTTCTGTGTTAATTGTCATGTCATCACTTAATGAAAAAATCGATGAAAAAACTCGATTAACATTTTCAAAAAAATTTAATATACTCAAATAAAAAAAATTTTATATATCCGATCGACAAAAGTTTCAAAATTTGTGTATTTATAATGAATTATCCTACAGTAACACTCTCGGCTGAGCACTTACCAGCCTCAGCTATCCGTGAGCCGTTATAGCAAATTACGTGAGGTTCGTACGTAGAATTAGGAGAAGAATGCAACGCAGTCCTTAGTATTTTTCTTTGTATGTTGCTGCCTTCTTCCCCATGGGGCTCCAATGAGCAAAACAAAGTTTTTACGTTTCCAGAACTACCCTTTCGTAACGTGAATGAAGAGAAAAGGCCAGTCCAGCAGCAGAATCAAGCATATTCTTAGGCAAAAAAGGATGTGCAAGTATATTCTTATCTTTTCTGCGCATAACCTTTCACTTGAACCTAAACAATTGGCCTAATAAAAAATCGTTACTACATTCAAAGAAAATGCATTCATCAAAATATAGTGAAAAACGCCGGAAACGAAAGAGACCAATAAGTTAGAATTTGACTATAATAATATTATTTTTTTCGTTTACAGTTTCCCCCATTTATTTTCCAGTTCTTGCTTCAATATGAATCAAGAACTTCATTCGCCTCCTCCTCAGCTTTAAAAGTGAACAATGATAATTGGAAAGATTTGGAGAAACCTGCCGGAGTCTTGAATGTAATCAACGCATCTGGATTGTTACCATTTACATGAATTTCGCTCAAAGTAATCCAAATCAAGAAGTCCTTGGCCTTAACACCAGTCAAATTCTTGATCCTGTTGGGCTCAAAATATGCCGTGACTTCATTGTCATAGCACACAGCTATTTTGTCAAACTGGTATTCTTTCCTCTTGCTCCTGTGCTTGAGCCAAACAAACCCTGTGTCCTTACTGTACCCGTGTTCCTCTATCTCTTCTAATACTATCAGCAGACCACTCGGCAAGCCTTTTTCTGTTAACAAGGACATGACCTTCTTTCTACATGTTTCATCTCCATAATAAACCTCTGCCTTGGCCCTGATATCTTGTGTCACCATAGACACGTCTTTCCTCCTGTGAAGTCTTGGTGACAAGAGGTCTGCTGTTGGTGTTGGTGCTGACATGGCTGGTTCCAGGGGATGTATGTAAGGACACTTCTGGTTTTCAAGGAAGTTAGAATATGAATTGGTGCGATATGCTATTTGGTTTTTTAAGGACCTCGGAGGATGAATTGGTTAATATTTGATGTTTTGGTTTCAAGAGGAATTCAGAATATGGATTGGTTCGGAAAGAAAAGAAAAGAATATGGGTTGGTATATCGCGTTTGTGCAGCCACATAAAGGAGCAAGCTAAGCTAATCAGGTGCTGATATATACAGCACTGAAATAATTTTAATGTGAAGCATTTGATGGAGAATAAACCATGAGTGCTACACATGCTAACATTTAAGAGAAAAACATGACATAATTACAGCTTCCCATGGAAGATAAAAAAGAGAAAAAAAGAAAAAAAAAGAGTTTTTTCGTAGGTGGTGTTTCACTGATCGTGTACCATCAACAAAATAATTTTCATTTAAAACAATAGTTAAAAAAATACTCCTAAAAAAAAAGTTAATTGTACCATATGTAATATAATATATGTGCCTTAAAAGTGTATTAGCATTATTATAGCATAATCATTTCACGTCTAAAACCCCAATAAAATTACAAAATATTTGCAACCATTTTATCAATTTAATATTGTTCATCAGCTTTTGCAAGAGGCATGCTTTAACAATAATAAGTCTTGCAGTTTATGCGATTAAATTTGTAGAATTTGATTACTAATACAATGTAGTTACAATCATAAAATTAAGACTATTTCATGATTGTAAAATGCTACTATTTTTTTTTTCGTTTAATTTTTCGAGCAGGAATTAATTAAATTCTTAATCGTCTCAAAAACGATGATATTCAAGTTTGTTGCTTAAAAAATTTATCATAAAAATTTGAAGATTTGATACGATCCCTTAATTTCGTAAGTAAAGCACAAAATGTTAAGCTCATATTCAAATTGTTTTTTTCTAAAATTCCATCCCATGAAAGAATTTATATGATATTCATTTTGAAAGGTGTACGCAAACTCTTTATCCATTTACTATATTTAATTCGAGATGATAAATGAATTTGTTTGGTAAATTTGATTTAATAAAAAAATATATATTTGTGATACATGAAAATTGATTATTTAATAAAAGAAAGAGCGTTAGATCTTCTCCATGTATTATTACTATTGTATCCTCGCATAAAAATGGAATCTCCGTAAATAATATCTTAGAAGGTCTCATTTTTACGTGACAATTTCTTCACTTGAATAAGACTAAAGCCCCATTGAGTCTAAGCCCACTTGATCTTGCATGCAACTGGTCCATTATCAGTTATCACATCAAGTCGGCCCATTATTATGGTAGTTATCAAGGTCCACAAATCAAAGCTGTCATCAAACTAAACCATAACTGTTAGATAACAAATGGCAAACTGAGCCTTTTTTCTGTTTGCTGATCTCCTTGGTTCTCTCTTCTTCATTTGTTCAAGTCTCTTCCTTTCATGCTCCTATTCGATCTGATCTCAGAAATCTCTAATTAGTCTACTTCCTGTTTATATATATGAAAAAAGGGCTATCTGCAACTGTAAAGTTCCTTTCTTTATCACTCAAATGCATCTTTGACACCAGAACTGGAATTCCAATTGACCCAGATTGGTGAAAGTTGGTTTCTTTTCAATCTGGTAAGCAAATCTTTGATACCCTTTTTGTTATTTTTTTCAACTGGGTATCTCGGGTTTTCTTTTCTCTTTTTTGTAGGCATTAAATTATGAATTCAAGAGATGGGTTCTTACCTGCTGAAGTTATTATTCAAGTTCTCGCTAGATTGCCTGTTAAGTCTTTGTTTAGAGCCAAAACCGTATGCAAACTTTGGTACAAATTATCATCAGATAAGTATTTTGTTCAACTGTATAATGAAGTAGCTGCTAAGAATTCAATGGTATTGGTGGAGGTTTCAGATTCGTCGGAGTTGAAATCTAGTTTAATCTGTGTTGATAATTTAAGGGGTGTATCAGAACTGTCCCTGGATTTCTTGAAAGATAGAGTGAAAGTCAGAGCCTTTTGTAATGGCTTGTTGTGTTGCTCTAGTATCCCTGATAAGGGTGTTTATTATGTTTGTAATCCCATGACTAAAGAGTTCAGGTTGCTTCCTAGGAGTAGGGAGAGGCCTGTGTCTAGGTTTTATCCTGATGGGGAGGCTACTCTTGTTGGTTTGGGTTGTAATTTATCAGTGCAGAAGTTTAATGTTGTGTTGGCTGGTTATCATCGGACTTTCGGTCATAGGCCAGATGGGACATTTATATGCATGGTATTTGATTCGGATACAAATAAATGGAGAAAGTTTGTATCTTTTCAAGATGATCGTTTTACGCCCATGAATAGGAACCAGGTTGTTTTTGTCCATGGTTCGCTCCATTGGTTAACTAGTTGTTGCTTGCATATACTTACACTTGATTTGAATTGTGATGTTTGGAGGAAGATTTCATTGCCGGATGAAGTGATTTATGGGGTGGGGTATAGAACGCATTTGTTGGAGTTGGATGGGTGCTTGTCTGTGATTCAGATATCAGAAGCATGGATGAAAATTTGGGTGATGAAGGACTATGAGAGTGAACACTGGCATTTGGAGGATAGTGTTAGCTTGAGATGTATTAGGGGAATGGTGCCTGGTATTTTCCCAATAAGTCAGACAAGTGAATATGTTTTCCTGGCGACGTATAAGCAGGTTTTGGTGTATCAGCGGAAGAGTAGAGTGTGGAAAGAGATGTATTCTGTGAAGAGCAGCTCCCCATTGCCATTGTGGTTCTCAGCACATGCCTTCCGGACCTCAATCTTCTCGTGTAATTAAAAATGTGGTCGGTATTTTATCAAGTACATGTACAGAATTTTATAGTTCACCGTATTTCCACTTAATTATTTGGGTATCGTTATTTGTCAGCTATTCATGATTTGTATATGAAATATGTAATATACTATGGTGTTATAGCTTTGGCTTGGAACTTTGGCTGCATCAAGAATAATTAGCAAGGTAAATTTTCTACTTGTTTTTATGAACTGAAATGCCTTTGCTGTGGTTCTTCTGAGGCAATTGATTGCAGCTTTAAGCTTTATTATATTTCTTTATGGCCTCTATTTCCCTTGTTGGCAATCACTCAACCTGTTCGATTCTGTTATTGAATGGCTCTTTAAACACCCTTGTTTCTGTCCGTGTTTATGATAGACTCAGATGGGAATTTCCTCCTTTATCACTGCCTCTCTGCCTGTGGTAAGGGGAATGCCCTTTGTGCATGTATATGCAGTAGAGGAAATTGCATTTACTTTTAGCAATCTTTTATGTAACTCAATTTATCCTGCTGCATTTTGTAGTTCTACCTCGAACTGCGTATTCGCTTTGTGCACAACATTTTTCCCCTCCTTTCTCAAACGAAAATTTCGATTCAGAATGCTTTTGGTTTAGTTCAGTCTGAAAGCATACAGCAGGTGAGCAAATTTTACTTGACTTTTGCCCTTTTTTTGCGTCCTTCCAGCTCGTTAAATGGAAACCCGTCGGTTTCAGTTGGAGGAGATTTTACGCCTATGAGATATTCAGTTGCTGGCATTCCTTTTTGGCTGAAGACTTGTTTAGGAAAAAATTACTCGAAGAAGGCATGGAGCAATTACCTTGCTTCCAGCTAGCCGTGTGGGTACGGCCTTTCTGTACATAGGCCCTCACTGATATGGATCAAAGGTAAGGCTTGAAGGATGGGCCCTGTTGCAAATCTAGGCTTAGTAAAAGCTGAAATGGAGTTTGGTAAGGTTTTCTATTTAAAGGGGGAAGATTTTGTTGACATCTGTTATGGGCAGTTTTTATTAGACCTTTTTGGGTAAAATACGCCCCACCTTCCTTTCCTTAATTAAATTATTCAATGCAACTAATTCCTGAATTTAATTGAATCCTTCTATTAACTAAATTAGTTTCCATCGAATTAATCTTAAGTCAACGGGAAACCTAAAATTCTTTACCACATAAATTGAATCGAATTAGGAAAAAAAAATTAAAAGTGAACCAAAATAAGAGTTGGAAAATAAAAAGAAAAAGGTTTAAAATGTTATGAAATAATGAATGTCCATAAAAAATATCCATTATCATTCTTATTTTTCATAATTGTTTTTTAATGTTATTCAATTTGTGATTATCATACATGAAGGAATGTATTTAATGGAGGTGATATTCAATTTACTATTATCATACATGATTGTATTTATTTTTCATTAAATTTATAATTTAGAATTCTATGTAATATTCACCTATAAATAGACATGTTAAGCAACCAAAGAGCTTGCAGCCCAGTGTTTGAGATCTCTTGCAACAAGAGATTATGAGTTCAAATCCTAAAAGACTAGTTCTACAAGGAGTCTTGGGTATGTGAGTTAAAAAGAAAAATAGAAATGTTAAGTAAAGAAATAGAACTATTTGTTTTTCTCTTCAATTATTTTATCATTACTTTTCTATTTTTTTCTCTAATTCTTTTACAGCTTATACTATTTTTAGAATTTTTTTATCATTACTTTTATAACACGGTATTAACACGAGTGTTTTATCAAAAGATTCAAATTATTTAGATCATTAAAAGATATTTATTTAATTTATTATTTATTTTAAATCTAATGATACTTTTTATTTGTATGCAATTCTTAAGATTTTGTAGTTTGTAATTGTAGAAAAGTATGAATGAATATTGGATCGAATTGTAGAATTGATGGGTTCCTTATCATGAACTCCGTATCTTTTCTTTTTCTTTTTAAGTTCCACCCGATCTCAGCAATTTTATAAGTTCAAAATATTCCGTCAAAATTCATAGTTTTTACTTGTTATTTGGATATATATGTAAAATTTAATCTACTTTTAGATTTTATAACCATTCAAATTTTATTAAATTATGAAATACTAGAATTAACTATTTTCAATTCCAAACTTTTGTATTATATTTTTATCAAATAAAATAATGACAAATATATTTTTTTCAAGAAACTATTTAAGAAGTAACTGTCAATGCTATTTGGTATTTGTAGAATTTAACAACCATAAATCTTTTTCATATACAATGAATCCTCACAAATAGCAAACCAGGCAACTACATGTCATGGTAGCTTCTAATCCATCCTTGTTTGACTAAAGTTTGATGCTTATTATGTTGTGATATCTTGTCTGCTCTATGATAATATATCTTGTATTTTTTTTCTTATATAATAAACAATTAATCCACTAAGCTTGGTAATGCTTACCTGAAAATCTCTTTTTTGTTAGAAAAAACGAGATTTGCGTTGAACTCAAAATTTCTCATTTCATTTTCAGAAAAGAGATAAACACAAAGAGTAAAAAATAGAAAAGAGAAAACTAAAAAAAAAATTGAGCCAATGCGAAATTTTTTTTATCACATTTGATAGGTCTAGATGTGATTCCTCCTTGTCTCAATTTTTTTTTAATTTTCTTTCTCTTCTTTATATTTATCTCTCTTAAAAAGTAAATTCATGAAAAACTACTACTCCTTTAGTATTATAAAAGTTCTCAGATTAGTGCAATAATGTCTGTACTTAATTAACTGATTGCTCAATAACACGTCATGATTGATGGAAATGTATATTGATTTCTTATATTTAATTAGGCAGTATATATAATTGTTTTGCCGTTATAGTTCTTAAATATGTGTTTATCTTTTATTCACGAATTTTTAAGTAAGTCAATGAGGCATTATTTTAGTGACAAAAGAATTTAAAGATGATAATAATTAAAATTGCAGTGAATTGATTATATTCTGTTCTTTGGTTAACCGTCATCCTAAATTCATGTTAATCTTCTTTCATCATAAAGAAACATTACGCTTACCCAAAAAAAAAATTAGCGATAAATTAGCTATGTTTTATACAAAGAATTTGGCGAATGGATAAGATTTGTTTTCCAATTAAAGTGATATGCAATTCAATATATGTATCCTCCTCTGCACCTTTTCCCTATTGCATATGTTATATACAATGAACAACTGAGATTTCATAATCTTGATAAGGAGCAGAAGTTAGTAAGTGTGCTATGGAGAAATTAACATGGCTTCTCGTCACGGGTTTTTTATTTTCCACTGATAACGTCGTCTTCACTTTTTGTCATATATATTTTTTAATGTTTAATACCTTTCCCAGGGTAATTATCATTTTGACGAGTGTGACTACTATTATACTTTTTTTTTTTTTTGATGTTTATTATATCAATATTTGAATGATTGAAAGAAATACTTTAACAAATAAAAAATTTATTAATTCAAATATTTTTATTTTGTGATATGACCGGTTAAATTATCCTAAATCCACATGATGTGGAAATATTATTGAAAATTTATAAGAGCATGCTATTGAAGAGTTAGAAGATTTTTTTAATATAATGAATTTTTATGTTATGCATGCTCTCAAGACAAATTGATTATTAAGTTATTATCAAGTAGAATTAGGATTGAATTTTCTGTATTTTTAGAACGTATTGAAGATGATTATGTAGATCAATTTATTCATCACATGAATCATATCGATATTTTATATTTTTGATATATGCATCTACAAGATGATCACGTGTATATTTACTATCAACTCAAAACCTAGTTTTTTCATAATTGTTTGCTCAAATAATTCGATTACAAGCACAATTTTTAGATTATGTCGAGTAAAACAATTTACATTGACAATGCCGATAAATTTGTCCTTCAAACATTTAATGATTATTACATATTTATTGAAATAAAAGTTGAGCAACCTATTGTTTATGTTTATACCGAGAATGGTTTAACGAATTATTTATCAAATGTCTCCAATTGATAGCTAGACTATTATTTATGAAATTAAAATTTCATGTTTGTTTATAGATATGTAATTTTATATACAACAACACTTATTCCCATTAGACCCACGAGTTATCGTAAATTCTTTCATCTTCGATTGGTTTTTGGTCATGAACCTAATATTTATCATTTAATTTTTTTTTAATCTACGAGTATATGTTTCCACATTACCTCCCCACAAAGAACTAAAATAAGTCCTCGACGGAGATCATGAATAGGAATGGCAATGGTCATCCTTGCCCCCATCCCGCCCTAGAAAATTTTGCCCCGTTCTCGCTTTGTGCCCCATGCGGAGCAATATTTCTCATACCAACCCCGCCCCAAATAAGAACGGGGATCCCTCGAGACACCGATGCCCCATTTAATTTTTTGTTTCTACCCCGTCCTATCCTATTCTACTCGTCAAATTTCAAACTATGATAAAAAAAATATGATAATTCACATGGAAAATAAACCCCGAGAGTTATACGGTATAATTGTAATTTTAGAGATGGAGCAGTGGCAAACGGAGCGAGGCGAGCAAATATCATCCCTTCCCCATCCCCGTTCAAAATAAATATGAGGCGAGGCTTCCTACCCTATTCCTTAGTCAAGTCGAGGAATTCTCGTGTTGATCGGGCGGTGGCAAGGCCAATTGCCATCCCTAATTATGAATATGTATTAGACATGAATGTCCTTATATAATTAAATATTTTGAACCATTAACTATAGATATTTTAAAGGCTAGATTTGCCGATTGTTATTTTGATAAAACAATTTTCTCAACATTAGAAGGAGAGAATAAGCATATGAAAAATATTAAGAAATGAGATTACATAAAATACTTTATCTTTATATCATCTTAATTCTCGTATAAAACAATGTGAACTATAAGAGATTACATAAAAATACTCTATATTTACATCATTTTGATCTCCAGATAAAATAATATGAACTAGAAATTCAAAAAATAAATCATTTACAAAGTCTTGCAATCTAAGTGCAA